GTTCTTGCGCGAATGTACCACGAACATCACACATCCAAGATGTACACCGCCACGGCCTTGGGAGAGATTGTATCACAACGAATTTGGACGAGCTTCAATACGATCAACTCGACCAGAAAGAAAGACACCCATGAGAAGAAATTGGTCCTCGATGAACGCAACAACATCACCGAGAAAGCGCACGAAGAGTGGGACGTACGAGGACAATGGATGCTCATCGACGCCATCGAGGCAATCCGATGGGCATGGATTCTCATCAAGTACTCCTCCGAGACAGTCATCAATAAGTACGTCGATTGGTTCATCCGACTGGTCCGCAAACACTCACAACGCATCAACAACGTCAAGAGCCTCTGGGAAGAGTTCTCCTGGGACATCGCCGTGCAAATGCGCTCGAACGAGACCTTCCAGATGATTACCGAAGACCTGATGAACGACCTCACGCGAGTCAACGATGTTATGCAACAGCCGCTCTCCAAGCGACCACGAGTCGGTAAAGGCTCCGAACAGCCTTACAAAGATAAAGGGAAAGGATACCAACAGAAATGGTCTCCACCGGGACAAGGACGGCGATATCGACATCCTTGGACGACGATGACAACTCAGTGGCGATCCTGGCCACCGACGGCGCAACCATGGAGCACACCCGCTTTGCCATCATGGCCGACAGCACCGACACAATCCTGGACTTCTGCCACACCATCGAACTTCACTACACCGACACCCGCTCCGACGATTCCCTTCAACCCTGCTCCGCAAGTCTCACTACGACCTCCGTGGAACGCGAAGGGCGAGAAGGGCTCCAAGGGCGCCGGCAAGAAAGGCAAGTCCGGCAAGTCCGGCAAGAAAGAGGGACAGCACGGCCCAGGGTCTTCAGACTCTGGAGCCGGCCATCGAATGACAGACCCACACGACCGGATTTGTACTCTGTGCCACGAGCTGGTAGGCACCTTGCCGGTGGTGCACCTGTCCTTCTTCGATGGTATCGGGATCGCCTCCGAGGCACTTCGACGTATCAACGAGAACGTCATCATCACCCTCGCGTGGGAGATCGACTCCGACTGTGCAAATTTCACATCGAAACTCTTCGGCTCTGTACAGATGGGAGACGTCGAGCAGTTTGACCTCGAGACCGTGGTACGACACATCGAGAACGCGACCAATAACAGACAGTACATCATGGTGATCACGGCAGGCCCTCCGTGTCCGGATTTTTCCAGTCTGCGAAGCCAACCCAAAGGCTCCGAGGGCACATCAGGTTGGCTGTTCAGACACATGGTCACCATCGAACATCAACTTCGCAAACGCTTTACGGGTGTCCCGATTGAGACGATCTTCGAGAATGTCGTGCCTCACCCGGACGTGCGAGACAATGTCGTAGAACTCACCTCTCCGATGAGCATGGACCCGATTGTCATTGACGCCGCCGACTCCGGCATCATGCACCGCAAGAGACTGTGGTGGACATCGATTCCTTGGAACACCGTCGAAGAGAGACTACCTCGTCTCACACCTTGGTCACTCGATTGGCGACTAGACGGAGACTGGCACCGACTACACAATCCGATTGGCTCCGACCTGCAACCCCAGATCCTGGCTCAGGGATACTCATTGCCACCGTGTCTTCACAACGACAAGAAACTGTTTCACTGCTTGACTACACCATCGACATCGACACATGGACGGGAACCCCCCAAACAACTTCGCGACCGCTCGACGTCACAGGATGCATGGCACCGATGGGAACAAGACAATCGACGATACCCGGTCTGGCAGTACGAAGAGCAATTCCTCGTCACCTTGCCGGATGGGTCGTGGACTACAGCTCCTTCGTCTCTACGCGAACAACTACAGGGCCTACCTCTGGACTACACAGCGGCACTCGGAAATGGTAACGAGACGAACGTTGCACGGCCCTGGGCAACGCCTGGCACCTACCTACGGCGATCTGGATCATCTTCCTGCTCCTGCTGGGGACCGTTGACGCATCCATACCCGATACACCCCGAGTTTCTCCATTACAACAGATTACCTCTCTCTGGTTGCACCATAAAGTACCCTTTGGCCCACCACCCCGAACCCCGAATCACGACTACATGCCACAGTTCTCCTGGACAGATCATCTTGACTGGGCATTACAGAGGGATACTCACTTGTCACCGAAAACACTCGACCCTACGCTCGAGTGGTGCCTCCAACATCGACATGTGTTTCACCCACTCATGGAATTCCAGAAGGCCGTCATCGATGACATCAGGACGCTTGTCGACGACATGGAAGAACACACGATGGCATGGTTTAACACCCTTCCTGAACACGTACAACGAGCATATCGGCGCAAAGACTCGGTCACACAAATACCCGTCCTCGTTCACTTACTCAGGATGATACAATATCCACAAACCGAGCTGATCTACCGCGAACTCTCCGAAGGTTTTCCCCTCATTGGGAAACTGACTCCAGGGATCAACTGGCACGTGAGACAAGACCAGAAATACCTCGAACCTACTCCCATCGACGAGTTCAGCGAGAAGAACCGACAGTACATCACAGATAAGATCGACAAGAACTCCGTCGATGACCACTGGGAACTCATGCTGGACGAGATCTTGGCAGAAGTTGACATGGGACGGATGAATGGACCTTTTCAGGCTCCGGACTGGTGGCCTCGAGCAGCCACCGTCCCACGCAAAGGAAGACACCGTACCCTGCTTCCGCTGCCACACTCCGACCCTTATATCGCCATGGCTTTCAGCATCGAACAGACGGGCAGCGACGGAAGCAACAAGGTCAGACGAGGCGAAGATTGGCGACGAAGTGGGCACAACGCGACATGCACGATGCACGACCAACCCTACCACCACACTCCCGATCACTTCATCTCCCTGGGACTTGCTACGATCCGACATGACCATCTCAGGCCCCTCTCGGTTTGGGGACACGACCACGACGGAGCTTATCGACAACTCCCACTCCGAGACCCTCGTGAAGCCTATGTGATGCTACTGACGCCGGACGGCCCGACACTATGGAGCCACAACGTCCTCTTGTTTGGCTCGGCCGCCAGCGTATGGTCGTATAACCGATTCGGCGACATTTTGGTCGCTTGCAGTCGCACCATGATTCTGTCCCCGGCGATGCACTACGTCGACGACTACGGCTCCATGGAGGACTCCGACTTAGCCAAGGGCAGCTTCGAATCCTTCGAGGAGTACAACGGGTGTTTACAAAGCTCGATGAAGCCCAGCAAACGACAACCACCGGATACAGCCCATCGGATCCAAGGCGTCATCATCTCTTCCGACGACAATGACCTGGTGCTTACTCCTTGCCCAAAACGCGTCGAGAACATGTGCAAGCAGATCGACGCTCACCTGATGACTTCGTCTCTATCACCCGAACAAGCCAGGAAAATGGCTGGGAAGTGTAACTTCCTCACCGGACGATTGTTTGGGAAAGTGGGCCGCGGCTCTGAAAGCCCTGTATGCTCGCGCCCACTCCCACTCACATGCACTCGACAAACACACACGATCATCACTACTCGCCCCCAAGGACATCATTCAACATTGTCGCCCGATGACGATACCGCGGCAGATGACCCGACCCAAATACAGCGTCATCTACACGGACGCTTACTTCCGCCTCGGCACCAACATCTACAGACCGGGTGACAACGACATCCCGAATTGGGCGACATCCGACATCGAGAACGGATGGGCTGCAGTTTGCTTCCACCACGGTGATGTGCAAACTGCCGCTTACTTCCAGGGTCGTCTCCCCTCACTACTTGTACGACAGTTCTCCTCCGACCAGGCTTTCATTTACCTTCTCGAAGCTTGGGTGACCATTTTGGCACCGCTGGTCTTCGAACCATGGCTCGATAAGTTCTACGTCCAATGCTGCGACAACGAAGCTTCCCGACACGCCCTCCTCAAAGGCGTCGGCAAACATCAGCCTCTCAATTGCCTTATTGCGGCACATTGGACTTGGCACAATCGACGAAGTCTTGCACACCGACTAGAACGTGTTCCTACCAAAGCCAACATCTCCGATGGGATCAGCCGCTTCGAGCACGTCCCCGAGTCTCAGGCATGGACTAAACTCGACTTGCCTCTGAACGCTCTGACTAGTAGGGCTGCGAAGATCATAGGAGACATTCATTTTGCTTCCTCTACGGGTTTTTTCCGACATACCCGAAATTCACAGATTGCACGATCGGCTGGCTGCGATGTTAGGTTAACTTATACTTCGAGTGGCGTTCGCCTGCGATGGGAGGACGCGACCACCCTCGATGGGAACCAGTCGGTCCTCCCAGCAGAAGGTACTCTGATACTTCCTGTTCGGAAGATCTACATCGATCTGTAAGATCGATTACTTCGATCTGTAAGATCGAAGCGCAGACATAACGCCACCGAAGCGGAAGCAGTTGGAAAACAGCTCCGCTCCAGCCAGGGATTTATGGTTTCCGTGTGAGATTTCCGTTGTCGTGTAGCACACACTTGTTTGTGCGAAGTGACAACTCATTATCTCACATAAACACCGAATCGGTCAGGGGATTGCCTCACCGATTCAATTCGAATGATTATACACTCCGTGGCCATTTTGGCGAAAGCTGTTACAGCTTGAGCAGATTTTGTTTCCTCTGCTTCCTGTCTGCGAGAACCGCCTGGGAACCAGTCGGTCCTCCCAGCAGAAGGTACTCTGATACTTCCTGTTCGGAAGATCTACATCGATCTGTAAGATCGATTACTTCGATCTGTAAGATCGAAGCGCAGACATAACGCCGCCGAAGCGGAAGCAGTTGGAAAACAGCTCCGCTCCAGCCAGGGATTTATGGTTTCCGTGTGAGATTTCCGTTGTCCATGAGATCCAAAACGAAAGCTGGCCACAAAGCGAGTACGATGCATGAAGCCAATCAGGTGGCCTTCAGGAGTTCCTGGCCTGTCACTTGTTTTAGCCGCCCCAGCCCTGAAGTTGATGCTTTGCCTGCAACATTGGAGGTCTTTTGGCTTTCACCGTCGCTGATGAGCGAGCCGCCGCTTGGAAGAGTCGAAGTCGGTGTAGGGCTATGACAGGGGTTTGGGTTCTCAAGCCGAGTGACCCTTGCTGGATTGTCTTGTCGGCGAAAACTCGGCTCAGCTGAGGTTGTGGGATTGGACCATGAAGGATGTCGCTGAAGGCAAGCCTTCTCGATGTTGCATTTTGGGAAGGTTGTTGCTGTAGTATTCAGATCGTACTTGTGTAATGTGTCATAAAGTTAAAAACAGCATATATACATCTTGTGGTTTCCACTAGATCAAGCGGAGGGTTGAGACGGAAGGGGGGTTCTCTGAAATGGAGTGAACCCTCAACCCTCAGCAGGCCCTGAACCAACAACCCTGAAGGTCTAAAGCGTCGGCAAAGTGCTCTTCGTTGGGTGTGCGTTGTACTTGAACGTTGGAAGCCGCGACGCGCGATTCTTTGGGTCACGATTCATTGTAATTTACAACACAACAATCTGTTACGGATGCGGCGGGCGGGTCCCCCATGCCTCGGGTTTTCCGATCACGGGGGATCGTGCGACCTCGACGACCCCTCTGTAAATTCCAAAATGTAACCCCTCATCGGCCCTCCGCCCGAGAAACCCTCGCGCTGCGTACAGACTCTGTTTCTCGAGTGGTCCAGAGCGGGAGGCTCATCGACGGCCGCCACTGGTTCAGGACGCTGTGCAACTTCGTGGCTGTTGCAGGGTGGAGGCATGCATGCAGGTGGCACACCTCCGTTCTCAAATTCGTGAAAAACCGTCTGCCACAACTGTGGTTTGGGATGGATCATGCTGGACTCATGGAGATCCTCTACGCAAGCTTAGACATCCTAGTCGTCTTCCCTGGACTTTTGGCGTTTCCGTTGGTCTCGCCCATCTTTGCACACACCTGTCAGGATCCCTCTTCGGAGCAGGCTCCGGCACAGGCAGCTTCGTCTTGCTACCACCCCTGCAGTCCTTGCTAGCTCAATGTAGAAAGCCAAAGGGGAAGCAACGTGGCTGCCAGCCCCACTTTCCCCCTCTCCCACCGAGCTATTGCGTGAGCTTCTGCGGTACGGTCGGTATTTGTTGCCTTGTTGATCTCGAGAATATACTGTCTCCATCCACCGCAGAGATGCTGGCGAGCTTCAGATTTCAGTACCAGCCCAACATAAATTGTGGTAGTTTTAGATCAACCACCAGGACAGCCAGAGTTGTAATGTTTCGTCGTTCTTGTCGCCTCGGACCGAGGCAAGACGAAGACCAAAGCACCTGGAGACCAAAAGAGTGGAGTGCAGCTGCGGGCTCAGCGGAATGTGTCTTTTCCGCAAGGACGGTTTGCACTGGAGTGGGTTCGTAGCTGCAGACCGGGAGACACCCAGGCGTTAGTTAGGCCTGTTAAGGCGTAGACCCGAATCTCCAACGCGCCGGAGCCTGTGACGCAGAAGCAAACGAAACGCGTCAGATGCCTTCTCCGTGCCGCCATTTGCCATACATCCTGGTCCGCTTAAGTATGCTGACCTCAGCAGTCTTGGCAAGTAGAGAGGGGTAAGGAGAGCGAGAGAGAGAGAGAGAGAGAAAGAGAGAGCGAGACGGCGACAGACAGAAAGAGGCTCCTTTTCTGGTAGTCAAGACACTTTTAGAGACAGAAAGACTGACACGCTGCTCATATATATATATATATATATATATATATACATAAATAGAGATAGATAGATATATAGATAGCTAGAGATAGAGAAAAAGGAAGTCATAGAGATAGAGCTCGGTCTCACAACCGACCCTGACTTCAGACACAGGCACATGTGTAACAGCAAGCAGACAAGCAAGCTGGAGCGTCAGAGAAGTATTTAGGGTTGGATGTGGACCCGGGTGGCTTATTCTAATATACCATAAGTATAAAAAGGAAATCCCAAGTTAGGATAGGTAACTATTAAGGCCCCTATTCTAGCGACTCTTTGCTTCGGAACCCGGATCCAACAAAGAGGAGCTCCGAGAAGCCTGGTCCAGGAGTCGGGAGGTCTTGGGAGCTAGGTCAGCTAATATAGGGGCCAGAGTAATAAGCTATACTATTTACGGGGCTCATTAGTATAACTATAGTATAATCGGCACCCAAATTCTAGTCTAATTATTAAGGCACAAATAGTATGTTCCTGTCAGGTTCGGTGGGGCATCCAAGGTCGACACCAAAGGCCCAAAGCTTGAAGTCGACGAGATTTTCAACACCAGGGTCTGTGAGCACTAGGGTTTAGGGTTCAATCATGAGCGTTTGCGGCATTTTACGGCAAGAGTTTATTGATCAGGACCTTCCCAGATTTGTTGACGGGGCTTTCAAAAGGCATAGTTAGGATTTGGCGTCGACTTCTGGGTAAAGTGAACCCCAGAAAGTTGGAACATGGATTTAGGAGATCGTGAACGCAGGTGAGACTACTAGAGACTAGGGCTGAAGTATGTTCCAGTTGAACATGGGGATTTCAAGAAGCCAGTGGCCGTAACGAAGTCCCTAGATATAGAGAAACAGCTTAGGTTATAGTCTGTGCATATGTACGCAAAGGAATAAGTGCATACATACATATACATATCATGATACACATGTAATATGTATATGTATATGTATGTGTAAATGTATATGTATATATGTATATATGTATATGTATATGTATATGTATATGTATATGTATATGTATATGTATTATGTATATGTATATGTATATGTATATGTATATGTGTATGTGTATGTGTATGTGTATGTGTATGTGTATGTGTATGTGTATGTGTGTATATATGTATATGTATATGTGTCTGTGTCTGTGGCTGTGTCTGTGTATGTGTATGTGCATGTGCATGTGCATGTGTACGTGCGTGTGCATGTGTTATATATGTATATATACACACTGTACATATATGTGTATATATACACACAAATGCATGACTTTCTTTTTTCTTTGCGTGTCATTACTTTGGAACCCAATGGCGCGCAGCTTGTCTTGCAGATTATTGCATGCCAGGCTCGGAGGACGGAAATGAAACAACATCTTTCCAGGACAGCGAGTGGGAAGTGTTGGGGACTTGGGGAGGAGGATAGGTGCCAAGTGCCTGTAGGTGTGTGCCCTCTTCGTTGCGGAACTGCGCTTGACTACTTGTGTAGCATGCAAGCTGCACAACTGAAACCATAAATGGCGCAGAGCTGCAGAACCAAACGAATCAGTCGCCCTCGAATCCCCTTCCAAGCGTACCAGCCCTTCCAAAGATTTGAGATCCGGCCATAGCTTTGAACATCGTGCTTGAACGGCCCGAAATCGTGCCATCATGTCTGCGCCAGGCCGCAGATGACAAGGCAGCGGCAGACAAGGACGCGGCTGACAAGGCCGCAGGTGACAAGGCCGCAGCGGCGAAGGCCTCAGCAGAAAAGGCAGCGGCCGACAAGGCCACGGCTGACAAGGCCGCGGCAGACAAGACCGCAGCTGACAAGGCGGCGGCAGACAAGGCCCCAGCGGAGGAGAAAGCGGCAGCAGACAAGGCAGCAGCTGACAAGGCAGCGGCAGACAAGGCCACGGCTGACGAGGCCGCAGCTGACAAGGCGGCAGCAGAGGCGAAGGCAAAGGCGGATCAGGCAGCGGCCGAGAAGGCTGCAGCACAGAAGCGAGTGGGTGTTTGTTCTGCGTTTGGCCTGTGTTTCTCGTTCTGGCACAGGCGTTCACTGTCACGTTTCCGAAGTCCTTTCCAAGTAGAAGACGGGTCGATGCGAGGATCTCAAAGCCTTGGCAGCGACCGAGGCATGACAGAAGTTTTTGGTGTGGGGCTTGCGGTCCTAAGGATCTGATGGGCAAGTATTCATAAGGGTTTCAGGGATTTCATTGTTGTTGCTTTGGGATTCTCATTTTCTTTCGGGGCAGGAGTTCCAATTGCGAGGATGGGGGTACAACTACTACTACTACTACTACTACTACTACTACGACTTCTTCTGCTAGCCCGAAACCCCAAACTTTCCGCCCTAAACCCTGCATGCCTTCCGAAAAGCACCGCAGAACCTTCAAGGTCTGGATGTGAGGGTCTGAGCCACTGAGCCTCAGCGCACCCCTACAGGAATTCTGTAACATAGAAGCCTAAACATAACGAAAAATATTCCTTAGGGCTCCATACTATAAGTCTATCCCACAAACCCGATTCAAAGCGTTAAGGCCCCTACAGTAGCACCTGCCATGAGGTCTCGGAGCGTAGGGTCGAGAGTTCCTTGAAGGATTCTAGCGGGTTGTGTAAGCGTCTTTGGCTGCCTGGCTTTAGAGAACACTGAACCCCAGAAAGTTGGAACATGGATTTAGTTGCAGCACATGATCTCCAGTTTGGGGGCTTGGTGCAAAGAGTTTCGCAGGCAACCTTTCAGCAGCAACGATACTTGCAGACACAGTTGCATTTTCTATGCCCATGCAGTCACACAGAGACAGGGACAGGTACCCATGCAAACACAGCAACTTGGACAACTCGGAAAGAAGTTCCTCAACACCAAAACAATCTGCTGTCCTTATTTCCGCGGTGTAACATCATAGAAAGCTGAAAACCTTTACAAACGCCAACCGCTATAAAGCTCATATGGGAGTTTCCGAAAAATTTAGGGTACCCCTTATAAAGGATCCTACTATTTAGGGTACGCTATTAGGGTGGCTCTTTTAACAAGCCTTCGACGCTAAAGACAGCCGACATCTGTCATCAAGCCCTCCCAGTCCTGAAGCACGGTTCTTCGTCAGCTGGAGTGGGATCGGAGTCAGGACCTCGCATGAAAACATGGGGCCAGTACGCCCCAGGTATAGTAATCTCTATCGACTCATGCCTTGAGGCCCGAACAGCTAATAGCATTGAAAAGACAGCATGCAGTGGAAACAGCATGCAGTTGTGGCCCTTGTACAACGCCTTTTCGAACCGCTTTACAGCGTTGGCCATGGCTAAAACCCCTAGACTAGACCTTTTGCCGAAAAGACCTACCGTTTTAGGGCTCCTTAGCACGGCCCCCACACACAGCAGAAGGCAGGTCCAAAGCCTAAAGCCAAATGCAGGATTCCTGCGCAGAACCGGCCAAGGTGCACAGTACCGAAACGGCAGCAGAAGCCGACGAGGCAGGATTTGGGGTTTCGGGTCTATGGGGTTTAGGGAGTTTAGGGTTTACATGGTTTAGGGCTTACAGGGTTTGGGGTTTTAGGGGTTAGGGATTTAGGGTCAAGGGCTTACTGTATACGGTAATGATGGGGCTGTTTTCTAATTAGAGTAGTATAGGGGTGGGGGGTAAGTTAGCACGAAGTAAGGTTGATGGACGTCGATCCTGGCATGCGGGTTTCGGGCGATATGCTTCGGGGAGTTGTAAGCAATGCTTTCACAGAGAGTGCGATACTCGACCTTCCTTATTTGAGAGACAAATTTGGCTCCCTGGGTTGATCCTCCAGGCATCAAATACCGTAAACCTTATACCCGCAAAGCCTAAACTCCTTAACCGTTTGCGGGGAGTCAGAACCACGGGGTTTAGATCAACAAGGCTTGTATGTAAAGGGCCCAAAACCTTATTTATGTTAGTATCTGGCAAACTTTGGCTTTATTTGTTTTATTTTGTCTTTATTTGTTTTATTTTGACTTTATTTGTTTTGTTTTAGCTTTATTTCTGTTATTTTGATTTTATTTGGTTTATTATGTCTTTACTTGTTTTCTACATGTTTAATGTTAGGTTGTTGAAAGCAACTTCTTCCTGTTGTTCTACTTGGGACCTGGCTTTCGTGCTGTTTGTCAATTGTCTGTGTTTTGTTTGCTCTTCATTTGTTTTAGTTTGTTTTTATTTGTTATATTTTGCCTTTACTGGACTTTAAATGTCTTACCATTTTTAATTTTAGGTTTTTGAAGACAACTGCTTCCAGTCCATCAATGGCTTCTACGTCCTTTTGTTTTGAAGACTTTATCCTCCATCCTAAACCCCCCTGAACAGATCCGGGTATCTCCAAACCCTCATTGTTATACTTCACTACTGTGCTAATGATGTACTACTAATATATTATTGCAGTACTACTGCACTACTGCACTACTACTGCAACTCATCTCTCAGCCCAACCCCTGCACCCTTCTGAAGAGCTAAGCCCCCCCACAGCCCCCACCCGCAACCCGTGCATCCACGCATCCGCGGAGCACCCCAAACCGCTCCCTCTCCCCAATTGCTTTCTAAGATACTCAAACCAACTGAGACCCCAAGCCAGCCCAAACCCCTCGGACCCCCCAATCCCCTTTCCAGCCACCCAAAACCACCCAGAGCCCAGTCCAGGCAGCCCCCACTCGCAACCGCGCATCCGCGGGACACCACAAACCAATCCCTGAACTCACGGAGATCCCCAGCCAGCCCCAAACCCAAACCCCTCCGACGTCCAGGCAACACACCAAAGACTACGCAAAATTCCATCGGCGGGGGGGTACCCCTTAAAGACAGTACCACATTAGTAGTAGTAGTAGTAGTAGTAGTAGTAGCAGCAGTAGTAGTAGTCGCTGTTGTCGTCGTGGTGGTGGTAGTAGTAGTAGTAGTAGTCCCAGTCGTGCTGGTAGTGGTGGTGATGGTCGTGGTTGCGGTAGTGGTGGTAGTGATGTTGGTGGTGGGGGTGGCGGTGTTGCTGCTGGTGGTGGCCGTGGCGGCGGCGGCGGTGGTGGTGGTTGTAATCCTAAAATCCCAAAATTTTTCACGGAACCAGAACCACAGACCTTGGATCCTCAGGGCTTTTTTTATTAAAGCCCTGAGGATCTAAGGTCTGTGGTTCTGGTTCGGTGCATTTTAGGCCTAATTTTGAAAGCTCATTTTGTCGCTGGCCTTTTCTGGAATCTGTGTATGCTGGCTAAGGTTGACGCGCGTGTGAAGCGCGTGGTCGTTTGCCAAAATCGGCCCGGAAAAATCTTATTGAATCTTATTGAATCTTATTGGTTTATCATTTTTCATTTTCAGAAGGGGCACTATCCCAACACGCCCCCACAAAATCTTAAAAAATCTCATAAGACATTTGTACAATTGTGGGATCCGCCCGTAAAATCTTATTAAATCTTATTAAATCTTATTAAATCTTATTGAATCTTATTGAATCTTATTGAATCTTATTAGGTTATCATTTTTAGAAGGGGCGCTATCCCAACACCCCCCCCCCACAAAATCTTAAAAAATCTCACAAGACATTTGTACAATTGTGGGATCCGCCCGTAAAATCTTATTAAATCTTATTAAATCTTATTGAATCTTATTGAATCTTATTGAATCTTATTGAATCTTGTTTCCTTAACCGTTTGCGGGGACCCAGTAAAGGGCTGTGCGGATTTATGACCTTTTCGTTGGAAAATCTTAAATATTCGCCACCGTTTCCCTTAGGGGGCGAGGGGGGGGATACCCCCCTAGAACCCCCCCTTTTGAAAACGTTGTTTTGTGTTTGGTTCTGAATGGGCATAACGTGGTATTGTCTTTCATATCTTACGGGGTGTCCTGCACATGTATGGCCATTGAGACATCTTACGACTCTTGTGTGGTATGAATTCAGTTAAGGAATAATACATATATAGCAATCAGTATTGACACTGGAACAATCAAATAATGTGTCAACACTTATTGGGTTTACTACACTTAGTTCAATTGAATTTTTTGCTTTAATATGATAGTTTCAATTTTGATGCTAGTGCTACAATACTCTTCATTCATATCACATGTCTGGTTGCTATTATCATTCATGTGATGTAAGTTATTTCATATAAAATCGAAACTACAGAACAGAACTGCTTTACTGTTTGGTGAATCAATACTTATGTATTTCAAAACACAGAAGGAATAGAAGTTACACATAAATAAACACCAGTTACCATATTTTGACATAAATGATATGGTGTGTTTGTTACTTTGAAATTCTTCATTTCCTGAAAAGGAAACACTTGACTCCAAATTTTCGGTTTGAGCATGAGATATGTAATAATGCCATGAAGCGTTTTATGTTGTATCGCAATAAATGTAGTGAATCCACAAACATTCACCCCTCCCGTCCTGTTTTAGTTGCAATCATTCATTGACACATTTGATGTATGCAACAGAATACAACACAGTTCAGGGACAAAATTAACACAAAATCAATTGCGTTTTGCCCGGGCATGGTGTACTACTAGTGTACTACTACTGTACGACTGCCGCAACTCATTTCTCAGCCCAACTCCCACACCCTTCTGCCCCCCCCCACAACCCCCACCCGCAACCCGTGCATCCGCGAATCCGCGGACCACAAACTCCTCGGACTCCCAATCGTTTTCTAAGCTACTCAAACCCACTGAGACCCCAAGCCAGCCCCAAACCCCTCGGCCTCCCCAATCCCCTTCGAAAGTTTTCTACTGAAACCCACCCAGAGCCCAAGCCGGGGTCCAGGCAACACACGAAAGACTGGGCAAAATCCCGGGGGGTCCCCTTCAAGACAGTGCCGCATTAACAATCATTAGTCAGTAGCTAGTCGTGGTTTAATTTTTGCATCATAACCATAAAATAACCTTTGTTTGTCTAGATTTATTTGTATTTGTCATCATGTGTATTTATGCGTCTTTATGTTTTTTTTTAGTTTTCTTTACGTCTTTATGTTGTCTTAACTGGTCTTTATTTGTCTTTATGTGTCTTTATTTGTCTTTATTTGTCTTTATTTGTCTTTATTTGTCTTTATTTGTCTTTATTTGTTTTGATTTGTCTTATTTTGTCTTTATTTGTCGCTATTTGCTTTTATTTGTCTTTATTTGCCTTTATTTGGCTTTATTTGTCTTTTATTTGTTTTTATTTGTCTTTATTTGTAGACCCTGTCGAACAAACCCTGTGGATCTAAACCCCGTGGTTCTGACTCCCTGCAAACGGTCAATGATAAACCCTACACCTAAAGCCCCAAAACTCTAAACCCTAGTAAACCTTACACCCCCAAAACCCCAACCTTGAAACCCCCAATACCCCCCACCTTAAACCCCAAAACCCTTCACCCTGCTAAACCCTAAACCCCAACAAAACAAGCCTAAATGGCGCAGAACCAAACGAATCAGTCGCCCTCGAACCCCCTTTCAAGCGTACCAGCCCTTCCAAAGATTTGAGATCCGGCCATAGCTTTGAACATCGTGCTTGAACGGCCCGAAATCGTGCCATCATGTCTGCGCCAGGCCGCAGATGACAAGGCAGCGGCAGACAAGGACGCGGCTGACAAGGCCGCAGGTGACAAGGCCGCAGCGGCGAAGGCCTCAGCAGAAAAGGCAGCGGCCGACAAGGCCACGGCTGACAAGGCCGCGGCAGACAAGACCGCGGCTGACAAGGCGGCGGCAGACAAGGCCCCAGCGGAGGAGAAAGCGGCAGCAGACAAGGCAGCAGCTGACAAGGCAGCGGCAGACAAGGCCGCGGCTGACGAGGCCGCAGCTGACAAGGCGGCAGCAGAGGCGAAGGCAAAGGCGGATCAGGCAGCGGCCGAGAAGGCTGCAGCACAGAAGCGAGTGGGTGTTTGTTCTGCGTTTGGCCTGTGTTTCTCGTTCTGGCACAGGCGTTCACTGTCACGTTTCCGAAGTCCTTTCCAAGTAGAAGACGGGTCGATGCGAGGATCTCAAAGCCTTGGCAGCGACCGAGGCATGACAGAAGTTTTTGGTGTGGGGCTTGCGGTCCTAAGGATCTGATGGGCAAGTATTCATAAGGGTTTCAGGGATTTCATTGTTGTTGCTTTGGGATTCTCATTTTCTTTCGGGGCAGGAGTTCCAATTGCGAGGATGTAGAACACTGAACCCCAGAAAGTTGGAACATGGATTTAGTTGCAGCACATGATCTCCAGTTTGGGGGCTTGGTGCAAAGAGTTTCGCAGGCAACCTTTCAGCAGCAACGATACTTGCAGACACAGTTGCATTTTCTATGCCCATGCAGTCACACAGAGACAGGGACAGGTACCCATGCAAACACAGCAACTTGGACAACTCGGAAAGAAGTTCCTCAACACCAAAACAATCTGCTGTCCTTATTTCCGCGGTGTAACATCATAGAAAGCTGAAAACCTTTACAAACGCCAACCGCTATAAAGCTCATATGGGAGTTTCCGAAAAATTTAGGGGTACCCCTTATAAAGGATCCTACTATTTAGGGTACGCTATTAGGGTGGCTCTTTTAACAAGCCTTCGACGCTAAAGACAGCCGACATCGAAAAGCTTGGTGTCATCAAGCCCTCCCAGTCCTGAAGCACGGTTCTTCGTCAGCTGGAGTGGGATCGGAGTCAGGACCTCGCATGAAAACATGGGGCCAGTACGCCCCAGGTATAGTAATCTCTATCGACTCATGCCTTGAGGCCCGAACAGCTAATAGCATTGAAAAGACAGCATGCAGTGGAAACAGCATGCAGTTGTGGCCCTTGTACAACGCCTTTTCGAACCGCTTTACAGCGTTGGCCATGGCTAGAACCCCTAGACTAGACCTTTTGCCGAAAAGACCTACCGTTTTAGGGCTCCTTAGCACGGCCCCCACACACAGCAGAAGGCAGGTCCAAAGCCTAAAGCCAAATGCAGGATTCCTGCGCAGAACCGGCCAAGGTGCACAGTACCGAAACGGCAGCAGAAGCCGACGAGGCAGGATTTGGGGTTTCGGGTCTATGGGGTTTAGGGTTTACATGGTTTAGGGCTTACAGGGTTTGGGGTTTTAGGGGTTAGGGATTTAGGGTCAAGGGCTTACTGTATACGGTAATGATGGGGCTGTTTTCTAATTAGAGTAGTATAGGGGTGGGGGGTAAGTTAGCACGAAGTAAGGTTGATGGACGTCGATCCTGGCATGCGGGTTTCGGGCGATATGCTTCGGGGAGTTGTAAGCAATGCTTTCACAGAGAGTGCGATACTCGACCTTCCTTATTTGAGAGACAAATTTGGCTCCCTGGGTTGATCCTCCAGGCATCAAATACCGTAAACCTTATACCCGCAAAGCCTAAACTCCTTAACCGTTTGCGGGGAGTCAGAACCACGGGGTTTAGATCAACAAGGCTTGTATGTAAAGGGCCCAAAACCTTATTTATGTTAGTATCTGGCAAACTTTGGCTTTATTTGTTTTATTTTGTCTTTATTTGTTTTATTTTGACTTTATTTGTTTTGTTTTAGCTTTATTTCTGTTATTTTGATTTTATTTGGTTTATTATGTCTTTACTTGTTTTCTACATGTTTAATGTTAGGTTGTTGAAAGCAACTTCTTCCTGTTGTTCTACTTGGGACCTGGCTTTCGTGCTGTTTGTCAATTGTGTTTTGTTTGCTCTTCATTTGTTTTAGTTTGTTTTTATTTGTTATATTTTGCCTTTACTGGACTTTAAATGTCTTACCATTTTTAATTTTAGGTTTTTGAAGACAACTGCTTCCAGTCCATCAATGGCTTCTACGTCCTTTTGTTTTGAAGACTTTATCCTCCATCCTAAACCCCCCTGAACAGATCCGGGTATCTCCAAACCCTCATTGTTATACTTCACTACTGTGCTAATGATGTACTACTAATGTATTGTTGCAGTACTACTGCACTACTGCACTACTACTGCAACTCATCTCTCAGCCCAACCCCTGCACCCTTCTGAAGAGCTAAGCCCCCCCACAGCCCCCACCCGCAACCCGTGCATCCACGCATCCGCGGAGCACCCCAAACCGCTCCCTCTCCCCAATTGCTTTCTAAGATACTCAAACCAACTGAGACCCCAAGCCAGCCCAAACCCCTCGGACCCCCCAATCCCCTTTCCAGCCACCCAAAACCACCCAGAGCCCAGTCCAGGCAGCCCCCACTCGCAACCGCGCATCCGCGGGACACCACAAACCAATCCCTGAACTCACGGAGATCCCCAGCCAGCCCCAAACCCAAACCCCTCCGACGTCCAGGCAACACACCAAAGACTACGCAAAATTCCATCGGCGGGGGGGTACCCCTTAAAGACAGTACCACATTAGTAGTAGTAGTAGTAGTAGTAGTAGTAGTAGTAGTAGCAGCAGTAGTAGTAGTCGCTGTTGTCGTCGTGGTGGTGGTAGTAGTAGTAGTAGTAGTCCCAGTCGTGCTGGTAGTGGTGGTGATGGTCGTGGTTGCGGTAGTGGTGGTAGTGATGTTGGTGGTGGGGGTGGCGGTGTTGCTGCTGGTGGTGGCCGTGGCGGCGGCGGCGGTGGTGGTGGTTGTAATCCTAAAATCCCAAAATTTTTCACGGAACCAGAACCACAGACCTTGGATCCTCAGGGCTTTTTTTATTAAAGCCCTGAGGATCTAAGGTCTGTGGTTCTGGTTCGGTGCATTTTAGGCCTAATTTTGAAAGCTCATTTTGTCGCTGGCCTTTTCTGGAATCTGTGTATGCTGGCTAAGGTTGACGCGCGTGTGAAGCGCGTGGTCGTTTGCCAAAATCGGCCCGGAAAAATCTTATTGAATCTTATTGAATCTTATTGGTTTATCATTTTTCATTTTCAGAAGGGGCACTATCCCAACACACCCCCACAAAATCTTAAAAAATCTCATAAGACAGTTGTACAATTGTGGGATCCGCCCGTAAAATCTTATTAAATCTTATTGAATCTTATTAAATCTTATTAAATCTTATTGAATCTTATTGAATCTTATTAGGTTATCATTTTTAGAAGGGGCGCTATCCCAACACCCCCCCCACAAAATCTTAAAAAATCTCACAAGACATTTGTACAATTGTGGGATCCGCCCGTAAAATCTTATTAAATCTTATTAAATCTTATTGAATCTTATTGAATCTTGTTGAATCTTATTGAATCTTGTTTCCTTAACCGTTTGCGGGGACCCAGTAAAGGGCTGTGCGGATTTATGACCTTTTCGTTGGAAAATCTTAAATATTCGCCACCGTTTCCCTTAGGGGGCGAAGGGGGGGATACCCCCCTAGAACCCCCCCTTTTGAAAACGTTGTTTTGTGTTTGGTTCTGAATGGGCATAACGTGGTATTGTCTTTCATATCTTACGGGGTGTCCTGCACATGTATGGCCATTGAGACATCTTACGACTCTTGTGTGGTATGAATTCAGTTAAGGAATAATACATATATAGCAATCAGTATTGACACTGGAACAATCAAATAATGTGTCAACACTTATTGGGTTTACTACACTTAGTTCAATTGAATTTTTTGCTTTAATATGATAGTTTCAATTTTGATGCTAGTGCTACAATACTCTTCATTCATATCACATGTCTGGTTGCTATTATCATTCATGTGATGTAAGTTATTTCATATAAAATCGAAACTACAGAACAGAACTGCTTTACTGTTTGGTGAATCAATACTTATGTATTTCAAAACACAGAAGGAATAGAAGTTACACATAAATAAACACCAGTTACCATATTTTGACATAAATGATATGGTGTGTTTGTTACTTTGAAATTCTTCATTTCCTGAAAAGGAAACACTTGACTCCAAATTTTCGGTTTGAGCATGAGATATGTAATAATGCCATGAAGCGTTTTATGTTGTATCGCAATAAATGTAGTGAATCCACAAACATTCACCCCTCCCGTCCTGTTTTAGTTGCAATCATTCATTGACACATTTGATGTATGCAACAGAATACAACACAGTTCAGGGACAAAATTAACACAAAATCAATTGCGTTTTGCCCGGGCATGGTGTACTACTAGTGTACTACTACTGTACGACTGCCGCAACTCATTTCTCAGCCCAACTCCCACACCCTTCTGCCCCCCCCCACAACCCCCACCCGCAACCCGTGCATCCGCGAATCCGCGGACCACAAACTCCTCGGACTCCCAATCGTTTTCTAAGCTACTCAAACCCACAGACCCCAAGCCAGCCCCAAACCCCTCGGCCTCCCCAATCCCCTTCGAAAGTTTTCTACTGAAACCCACCCAGAGCCCAAGCCGGGGTCCAGGCAACACACGAAAGACTGGGCAAAATCCCGGGGGGTCCCCTTCAAGACAGTGCCGCATTAACAATCATTAGTCAGTAGCTAGTCGTGGTTTAATTTTTGCATCATAACCATAAAATAACCTTTGTTTGTCTAGATTTATTTGTATTTGTCATCATGTGTATTTATGCGTCTTTATGTTTTTTTTGTTTTCTTTACGTCTTTATGTTGTCTTAACTGGTCTTTATTTGTCTTTATTTGTCTTTATGTGTATTTATTTGTCTTTATTTGTCTTAATTTGTCTTTATTTGTCTTTATTTGTTTTGATTTGTCTTATTTTGTCTTTATTTGTCGCTATTTGCTTTTATTTGTCTTTATTTGCCTTTATTTGGCTTTATTTGTCTTTTATTTGTTTTTATTTGTCTTTATTTGTAGACCCTGTCGAACAAACCCTGTGGATCTAAACCCCGTGGTTCTGACTCCCTGCAAACGGTCAATGATAAACCCTACACCTAAAGCCCCAAAACTCTAAACCCTAGTAAACCTTACACCCCCAAAACCCCAACCTTGAAACCCCCAATACCCCCCACCTTAAACCCCAAAACCCTTCACCCTGCTAAACCCTAAACCCCAACAAAACAAGCCTAAATGGCGCAGAACCAAACGAATCAGTCGCCCTCGAACCCCCTTTCAAGCGTACCAGCCCTTCCAAAGATTTGAGATCCGGCCATAGCTTTGAACATCGTGCTTGAACGGCCCGAAATCGTGCCATCATGTCTGCGCCAGGCCGCAGATGACAAGGCAGCGGCAGACAAGGACGCGGCTGACAAGGCCGCAGGTGACAAGGCCGCAGCGGCGAAGGCCTCAGCAGAAAAGGCAGCGGCCGACAAGGCCACGGCTGACAAGGCCGCGGCAGACAAGACCGCGGCTGACAAGGCGGCGGCAGACAAGGCCCCAGCGGAGGAGAAAGCGGCAGCAGACAAGGCAGCAGCTGACAAGGCAGCGGCAGACAAGGCCGCGGCTGACGAGGCCGCAGCTGACAAGGCGGCAGCAGAGGCGAAGGCAAAGGCGGATCAGGCAGCGGCCGAGAAGGCTGCAGCACAGAAGCGAGTGGGTGTTTGTTCTGCGTTTGGCCTGTGTTTCTCGTTCTGGCACAGGCGTTCACTGTCACGTTTCCGAAGTCCTTTCCAAGTAGAAGACGGGTCGATGCGAGGATCTCAAAGCCTTGGCAGCGACCGAGGCATGACAGAAGTTTTTGGTGTGGGGCTTGCGGTCCTAAGGATCTGATGGGCAAGTATTCATAAGGGTTTCAGGGATTTCATTGTTGTTGCTTTGGGATTCTCATTTTCTTTCGGGGCAGGAGTTCCAATTGCGAGGATGGGGGTACAACTACTACTACTACTACTACTACGACTTCTTCTGCTAGCCCGAAACCCCAAACTTTCCGCCCTAAACCCTGCATGCCTTCCGAAAAGCACCGCAGAACCTTCAAGGTCTGGATGTGAGGGTCTGAGCCACTGAGCCTCAGCGCACCCCTACAGGAATTCTGTAACATAGAAGCCTAAACATAACGAAAAATATTCCTTAGGGCTCCATACTATAAGTCTATCCCACAAACCCGATTCAAAGCGTTAAGGCCCCTACAGTAGCACCTGCCATGAGGTCTCGGAGCGTAGGGTCGAGAGTTCCTTGAAGGATTCTAGCGGGTTGTGTAAGCGTCTTTGGCTGCCTGGCTTTAGAGAACACTGAACCCCAGAAAGTTGGAACATGGATTTAGTTGCAGCACATGATCTCCAGTTTGGGGGCTTGGTGCAAAGAGTTTCGCAGGCAACCTTTCAGCGGCAACGATACTTGCAGACACAGTTGCATTTTCTGTGCCCATGCAGTCACACAGAGACAGGGACAGGTACCCATGCAAACACAGCAACTTGGACAACTCGGAAAGAAGTTCCTCAACACCAAAACAATCTGCTGTCCTTATTTCCGCGGTGTAACATCATATTAAGCTGAGAGCCTTTACAAACGCCAACCGCTATAAAGCCCATATGGGAGTTTCCGAAAAATTTAGGGGTAAGCCTTATAAAGGATCCTACTATTTAGGGTAAGCTATTAGGGTGACTCTTTTAACAAGCCTTCGACGCTAAAGACAGCCGACATCGAAAAGCTTGGTGTCATCAAGCCCTCCCAGTCCTGAAGCACGGTTCTTCGTCAGCTGGAGTGGGATCGGAGTCAGGACCTCGCATGAAAACATGGGGCCAGTACGCCCCAGGTATAGTAATCTCTATCGACTCATGCCTTGAGGCCCGAACAGCTAATAGCATTGAAAAGACAGCATGCAGTGGAAACAGCATGCAGTTGTGGCCCTTGTACAACGCCTTTTCGAACCGCTTTACAGCGTTGGCCATGGCTAAAACCCCTAGACTAGACCTTTTGCCGAAAAGACCTACCGTTTTAGGGCTCCTTAGCACGGCCCCCACACACAGCAGAAGGCAGGTCCAAAGCTTAAAGCCAAATGCAGGATTCCTGCGCAGAACCGGCCAAGGTGCACAGTACCGAAACGGCAGCAGAAGCCGACGAGGCAGGATTTGGGGTTTCGGGTCTATGGGGTTTAGGGTTTACATGGTTTAGGGCTTACAGGGTTTGGGGTTTTAGGGGTTAGGGATTTAGGGTCAAGGGCTTACTGTATACGGTAATGATGGGGCTGTTTTCTAATTAGAGTAGTAGGGGTGGGGGGTAAGTTAGCACGAAGTAAGGTTGATGGACGTCGATCCTGGCATGCGGGTTTCGGGCGATATGCTTCGGGGAGTTGTAAGCAATGCTTTCACAGAGAGTGCGATACTCGACCTTCCTTATTTGAGAGACAAATTTGGCTCCCTGGGTTGATCCTCCAGGCATCAAATACCGTAAACCTTATACCCGCAAAGCCTAAACCCTGCCCCTAAAGCCCCAAAACTCTAAACCCTAGTAAACCTTACACCCCAAAACCCCAACCTTGAAACCCCCAATACCCCCCACCTTAAACCCCAAAACCCTACACCCTGCTAAACCCTAAGCCCCAACAAAACAAGCCCAAGCCTTAAACCCCAAAACCCTTGTGACCCTACCCCTTAAGAAAAAAGCGTTGAAATACAGGGGCCTAGATAATTACAAATACTATTTTGGGGTTCCTTATTGTAAATATCGTAAACTAAACCCCAAACCCTATTCTAATTATAAGACCCCCGCAAGTAGAACTGTGTTATGGATCCCTTATAGGATCCCTTATAGATCCCTTTATGGAACCCTGAAAGGAACCCCATTAAAACGAAGGCCCCTACATTATCTCTCCCGAAGTCCCGAAGTGGCGCCAGATCCCCCTGGCTACCTTCGACCTCCTGCGCCCACCCATGGCGGCGCAGGCGCTTCTCACTCTGACCGCCTTTCTGGGGTTCCTAAGAGGGGGCTCCCTTAAGGGTTCCTTAGGGTTTAGGTTTATACGGTATACAGTAAACCCCATAAAGTTGGGCCTTTTTGGGGTTCCTAAAGTAAGCAGTAGTCTTTCCGCACGATTTCCCCCGAATGCTGCGCTTTCGCTGTGAGTCAAGACCGCTCTTCCCAGCACGGAAGCTAACCCTAAACCTCAAAATTTAAACTAACCCCTTAACCCCTAAACCCCTAGACCCGAACCCCTAACCCCTAAACCCCTAAACCCTGAACCCCTAAACCCTAAACCTTTGTTGAAGGCAGCACCGGGTCCGGTGAGTCCGAACCTCCCAAGCAATGGGAGCTTGGGACATCCTGATCTCTGCCACTTGGATCCTTTATGTTTGGGCTTAAAAGGGGGACGGGACCTCAATGTGAATAGCAGTTTTGGGGTTTGGGCTTTTCTCATCGTCTCATGATTCGCGTTGGGCGGGGGGGATGAATTGAGGGGGGCGGTGGGGTGTGCCTGAGGAAAACTCTCACACGGGGGGGGGGGGGGGTAGACCCTAAGGCTCCATAGTGGTTCCTTATTGGGGTTCATATATAGAATCCTATAAGGTGATCCCAAAAAGGAACTACTATGGGGCCTCTGGGTAGACTCCCTAGAATCCGTTTCCTGCCGCGGGGTTTCTTTGTGGGATTTAGCGGCTCGGGCTCCCCTGAAGTCTTAGGGTTGTGGGGAATATTAGTATAGGGGCTTATAAATGATTACCTCTTGCACTTTGGAAGGGGCCCGAAACCAGCCACGTCCACGCAAAAAGCGTTAAGGATCGCATGCAGGGACCAGCACTGACCAGTAGTAGCAGTGCCCTGGACATGTGCGTAAGCGCAGTTGATGGCTGGCCAATGCCTTAAGTTTACATGACATAGGATCTCTGTCACCTGGCAACTAAATCTAGGAGGCATCAGCCTTCATAATTTCAATCGGGCTTCTCAAATATGCTACAGCCACGGGCTCGGGGGAAAGGTTGAGGGTGTAGTAGGGTTCCGGACAAAAACGGGTTCAGGATTAGCTGGAACTCAGGGATTGTGGGTTACGGCTTGGGATCCAGAGATGCAGGGCCGAGAGAATCAAGCTCAGGGACTAGGAATGAGGGGCTGGGGATTCAGGGTTCTCAGAGGAAGCTATTCCCTACTTTCGGAAACTCCCATATGGTCCACATCAAGCCCCAAAACCAGCCCTGTGTTTTCATGTTTTGATGTGAAGGGTTTGCAGTTGCCGAAGACCCCATGCCCAAAAAGGCCGGTCAAGTGTTCCCCTCAGTCCTTCTGTTTGGGGGTTTAGAGTTTCGGATTCTTGTTGTGGGGTTTAGGGTCTTTGATACCGCGTTTCGAGTTTAGGGTTCCATGGCAGTGAAGCAGAGACACTCGTTACTAGGCTCTAGGCTCTTGCGGTTTTTCAGGATCTTGAAACTAGTGCTTCTGATTCGTCTGCTCGCTTACATTACGTATGATGATTCTCACCATTCGTTTATAGGACTGAACACACTGAGATTCTTGAAGCTGCCCATAGGCCACATCGGGTGGCCGTATTTTTTCTGTATTTTTTTTACAGTTTTTTTTTGTATTTTTTTCCGGTCGCCTGCCCAAGCAAGCAAGCAAGCAAGCAAGCAAGCCAGCAAGCCAGGAAGAGAGCAAGCAAGCAAGCAAGGAAGGAAGCAAGGAAGGAAGGAAGCAAAGGCAAGCAAGCAAGCAAGCAAGCAAGAAAGGAAGCAAGGACGGAAGGAAGGAAGCAAAGGCAAGCAAGCAAGCAAGCAAGAAAGGAAGCAAGTAAGGAAGGAAGCAAAGGCAAGCAAGCAAGCAAGCAAGCAAGCAAGCAAGCAAGCAAGCAAGCAAGCAGGCGAGGAAGCGAGGAACCGAGGAAGCGAGGAAGCAAGCACGGAAGCGAGGAAGCGAGGAAGCGAGCAAGCAAGGAAGGAAGGAAGCAAAGGCAAGCAAGTAAGCAAGCAAGAATGGAAGCAAGGAAGAAAGGAAGCAAAGGCAAGCAAGCAAGCAAGCAAGCAAGCAAAGAAGTTAGCAGGCAAAGAAGGAAGCAAGGAAGGAATCGAGGAAGGAAGCAAGCAACCAAGCTTCGCAGCGCATGCCTGTAGAGCAGAAGCATCAGAAGCGTATCTGTAGACTGTGATATACATATATATATGTATATATGTATATATATATATATATATACATATTACTTGCATATCGACACATACACACATACACACACACACATACACACGCACACACACATACGCATACACACACATATATATATATATATACATATACTTGCGCACAAATGTATATGTAACAAGTAGCTGAATGTCTATGCGTATATGAGCAACTCTGCCTACATAACACGATTGGTTTAAAGCTGCGGCGTTTCACCGCCCAATCCCAACTGATAAAAGCACACTATGGATGTATGATGATCTTGTGCATCGGCTGATTGCACATCCATGCCTGGTCGGCTGCAATGGAATTTACACGTGTCCTTTGAAACCTTCCCTCTTCCAGACTTCCAGTGGCCGGGCCTTGATACTGCTCTTTTGGAGTACAAACTGAATACGCGGAACGCTCTTCCAGTGGCCGGGCTTGGAAACTGCTCTTTTGAAGTACAAACTGAGTACGCGGAACGCTCCTCCGGCGGCTGGCCCTTGTGAAAGTTTAATTATAAATATAAATATACATATAAATATAAATATGAATATAAATATAAATATAAACATAAACATATAAATATAAATATAAATACAAATATATGTATATGTATATATGATAAGCCGGAATCGCTCAATAAGGGTGTGTGTGTGTGTTTACGACTAATGATGAACCCCACTCGTCTGGCGTGCTTTAGATGCATGATAACCGGAATCGCCAAATGAGGGTGGCCTCTTTAAGATGTACGATGGACCGGAATGTCGCATTCAGCGGGCGTTTTTAAGATATATGAAAAACCCGCTGGTCTGGCGTGTCTAAAGTTATGATAGCCGGAATCGCCAAATGAGGGGCGCGTTCTAAATACATAAATGAATAAAAGCAGTATATATATATATATATGATACACCGGAAACGCTCAATGGGGGGGGGGTTTAATATATCTGATAAACCGGAATCGCCCAATTGGGGGGGTGTTTAAGATATATGTTGACCCCCAATGGTCTTGCGTGTTGAAAGTCGGGTGTGGTGAAAGTATATGATAGCCGGAATCGCTAGATGAGGGGGGTGTTTAAAAATATAGATATATATATATATATATATGATAAACCGGAATCGCTCAATGGGCGGGGGTGTTTAAGATATATGATAACCGGTTTAAGTATATATGATACTCCGGAACCGCTCAATTGGGGGGGCGTGTTTCATATATATATATATATATATATAAAATTTATTTATTTATTTATTTATATATATGTATATATATATATATATTTGCTTATTTATTTAGTTGTGTATTTAAATATTTATACTTGTTTATTTATATGTGACGAACCTCACTGGTCTGCCGTGTTGAAAGTATATGATAGGCGGAATGGCCAGATGAGGGGCGTGTTTATATAGATAAATAATATGTACACATCTATATATATGTATGTATGTATGTGTATATATATATATACATATGCTGAACCGGACTCGCCCAATCGGGGGGCGTGTTTAAGGTATATGATAGCCGGAATCGCCAAATAAGGGGCGTGTGTGAATTTAAAACAAATATATATATATATATATGTATATATATATATACATATACATATATATATATATATATTTACATGATAAACCGGAATCGCTCAGTGGGGGGGTTAAGATATATGATACCCGGAATCGCCAAAGGAGGGGCGCGTTTAAATACTTGTTTAAGCGGAATCGCCCAATGGGGGGGTGTTGAAGATATTTGATGAACCCCACTGGTCTGGCGTGCCGTGTTTAAGGTATATGATAGCCGGAATCGCCAAATGAGGGGCGTGTGTGAATTTCAAAACAAAAGGATATATATATATATGTATGTATATATATATATGTATATATATATATATAAATATTTATGATAAACCGGAATCGCTCAGTGGGGGGGGGTAAGATATATGATACCCGGAATCGCCACAGCGACCCCACAAGAGTCCAAAACCCAAAAGCCTAAACCGCTGCTGAGGAAAGACTTCCACGAGCCCGAAGGGCAAAGCGTGGCAGGATTTGTGAGAGAGGTGCTGAAAAGCCCGCGGTTTGAGGATTGTAGTACCCCTATAGGAACAGGCAAGCGGAAAAAAATATCAAAAAAAACGGTAAAAAAATACAGAAAAAAACGCACGACCCCACATCGTAGTTCCTTTTGGTGATTACCGTATAGGATGCTACATAGGAACCCCGAAAAGGAACTACTATGGGGCCTATGGGTGGCTGCCCACGAGTTGAAGAAAACGGCAGCCGGCAGGTGGCATAGCGCCTCTGCCGCCTCAGACGTCACCAAAAGGAGGTGAGCAGATGCCATACTTGGAGGTTCATGGGTAGTTATAATCGGGTTATAACGGTTTAAGGTTGCTTTAAGGATTCTTAAGAGTTTAGGGTAGTTAGAAGTAGGGGTATAAGTAGGGCAACTATACTTATGACCCATATTGGGGGACTTGTAGCCCTACTTATAACTACCCCTGAACCTCCAAGTAGAGCTTGGAAGGTTTAGGACCTATAGGCTCCATTGTAGTTCCTTTTGGGGTCACCTTCTAGGATCCTAAGCATAAGCCAAGAAAAGGAACTAGAAAGGAGCCTAGAGGTAAACAGGAAGTCCTAAGCCGAAGCCGAAGCCTTATGGATTAGCAACACGCTGGGACACAGGGCTTTGAGGATCTTGTCTTGGGCAACCGGATATTTGAGCACGGCCTTGGGGGCCAATCTGTGTGCTTGTTACGGAGCGAAACCAGGAGTATTTTTACAATGGAGACACGCAGCGAATGAAAATCTGTGCCTATGTTGTCCTTCATGTGGTAGCTCAAACTACGCTCTGAAAGCAAGAGCCAAGCGTGCAAACCCTACCTCCTGTTAGAACATGTCTCGCAATATTCGAGAAGACTGCTGCAGAGCAAAACGGTCGATCACTGGTCCTTGCTTTCGGAACGTAGTTTGAGCTACCACATGAAGGACAACATAGGCACAGATGTTCATTCGCTGCGTGTCTCCATTGTAAAAATACTCCTGGTTTAGGTCCGTAACAAGAACACGGCCAGCGCCTCCGAAGCCCTGTGAGCTTGACATTACTCCTTCGGGATCCGTATTATAACTATTATTACTAGTAATTGTCATGCTACTGATGAAAAACCCGAAAGCCGTATCAACAATAATGAAGGCCCCCTGTAGTAGAGCAGCATGCTGAAACTCCAGAAACCCTGACTTCATCTTTGAGTTATGGCATGGCACATGCGTGTTTTTTGGCTTGGTTTAGGGTTTAGGGTTTTAGGGTTTTAGGTTTAGGGTTTAGGGTTTAGCATTTTCATTGGTTTCGAAATGCCGCCCCTGGTGTAATGTCTTCACGACCGGGGGCCAGGAAGAGAGGTAGTCGAATCTGTCTTGCCTGTGAAACCCGAATAGGGCACATGCATTGGTCGCGCTGACAGTAGCCGACACGCCACACCCTTGGCACCTTACCCCAGTATCCCCACAGGCCTAATATCGGGGCCTAAGTAGTTAACCTATACTATTTTGGGGGGTTCCTTATGATAAATATAGTATAATGGACCCAAACCCTATTCTAATTACCTTATATTAAACCAAAAGCCAAACCGCAAAAGCCTCTGGAAAAAGAACCTTCAAGAGCCCAGAAAGACCAACGCAACAGCCCTACACCTGCCACAGCATGGAAACAGACCACTGCACTGCGCTTTAAAGAAGAAAGCTAATAATAATACTGTTTGATATTAGAGAAAGAACTGTTGACAAAAATGTTCATATGTAATATTAAATGTAATATTAAAGGCAAAAGCCTGCCACAGGGAATGGTCCGGAGAGCTCGTCGAAAGCGGACACGTGCCGCAGCAGCACCGGGCTTCCGATTTCGGAGCACTGTTGGGTTTGGAGGGGTCTAATATAGGGGCCTTAACACTAATACGAATAATAATTAGAGTTCCCAGGGTTCAGAACGGTTTCCATAAGGGCCACACAAGGGAAAAGAAAAGTGGGCATAATACTTACCTATACTATTTTGGGGGATAGTGGGCCATACGAGGGAAATGATGTGTTAAGTTTAAGTCATTTGGTACCAGGATTTATAGTTCAAATCTAGCACTTGGCCGTTCACAAATTTAATTGATAAAAAGCATGCTTTCATTTCATTACATTATCTTTTTACAATTAAATTTTGCTCACTTTTCATTACATTTTACCACACTTTCTCTCTTATAGGATGTAGTGTTTTAGGGTTCCAGTCTTGGCATAGTTTCAAGGGTCTTTGTGTGTTTTCCTGGTTTGGGGGCACAGGGATTTCGGGTTTAGGGTCAGGAAACCGCGAGGTGGGGACAGGCATGACAGACATCAAAACAGGCCTTGCCCTTCAAGAGCCGCATTCTTGGTTTGTTCTCGGAGAAAACTTCGAAAGAAGGCTCCAAAACTTGAAACCGCAAAGCCCATTACAAATCCTAGGCCTCCCAGTGGGCCCTTTTTTCCCGTTTTGTAGTCTTCGGTTCCTTATAAAGTAACCCAATACCAGCAAAGGAGCCCTTTTCATTCCTAGGTTACTGGGCATCCTCGAATCAAATTCTCTGAGCTCCGAATGTGTTTCAATCCCTAAACCCTAAACCCCTAAACTCTAAAACCTAAACCTTTAAACTTCCAAACCCTAAGCTAAACCCTAAACCCCTAAACCGTGAACCTTCGAGGCATATGACATCCACGGCATTGGTCCGGGTCCGGTGGCCCAGTCTAGCCCGGTCGGCGCTAAGATGAATCGGGGAGCTCTCTAAATTAGGGTTTATCATAGGCACCCTTAGGGGGGTAGGGGGGAAGGTAAATAGGCCTTGTTCAGTCCATAAAATGGGTTTGAAGACCCCGACCCCCCTCACCCTACCCCTCTAAGGGTCCTTGTGAGGTTTAGGGTTCAGGTTTGTGTCCTTGGTAGAGGAGTGAGGTCTCGTGTTGAGGCCCCAGAAGAAGACCCGAATGCAGGGACTCGAAGCGCGGACCCCATAACTAGGGCTTCAGGACCTCCGACGTAGGTACGAGGGTTTAGGGTTTAGGTGCGGCCGCATTAGCGGCCAGCGGGCAGAGGACAGCCAGGCATATCTAGACCCTCAACACTATACCATTGTAATCAGAACTGTAAGGTGGTACTGGAGTACCATTACTGATTATTCCAACCCTTAGACTACATTGACCAAGTCTTGGTAGTACCTTCTCCCCCGAACTTGATTCGTGCTTCAGGGTTTCGGGACTTGGGGGGCTCAGGGTTGAATAGGGCAGCGCCTTTTGTCCTCCTGACATGTCGGTTAGTGGGAAACTTCGCAGCTGGAGAGCTGTGGTTTCCAGGTAACAACAGGGACAACTTTCCATAAGGTGTGCAAGACGTCGAGGCGTTTAGGATTCAGGGTCGAGGGTTCTCGGGTTTAGCGCCTCAGAATTATGGGGTTCTACGTTTTCGATTCTTTCCCGGATTGGGGCGTCGGGTTCAAGGGGGAACTCCAACAAGACTTGAGGCCTGAATTCTCGCTCGGTCGGCAGGTTCGGGCTTTGGTCTGCAGCACAGTGAGACCCAAGACCCCCCTAAACCCTAAACCTTAAACCCTAAACCCTAAACCCAAGACCCCTTCTAGGCACCTGAAAACTAATTGAGCTGGGGATTTCTTGAAACACCAAAACTTGAAACCCTAAACCCTACCTGGAGGTCCATAGGTAGTTATACGTGGGCCCAGGGTTATAAGTAGGGTAGCTATACTTATAACTTATAACCCGTTACAGGGGACTTATATAGATGTTGCAGAATTTATTCTTGTTGGTGCAGGGCTGTAGACATTGTAGAGGGCTTCTTGTGTGCTGGGATACTCGTGCAGGAGTTCGGAGATTTTCAGGGTGTCTGGGCTGTTGGTTTCCAAAGCCCCAAAATCTTTTCAACATGCCGAAAACCCGTAACGCCCTAAACCCTAAACACCCATCTAAAGAGTCGGAAACCAAGAAACGCCTGAACCTTCAAGCCGAAAGGGACATGGATCTACATATATGTGTATGTATGTAATTATATGTATATGAAGCACCATCTCAGGAGAAGCTCCTTCGTCGTGCGCTGCTTGATCTCGAGACACCGGGCAGCACCTGAAGTTCCAAAGGTTCTCATGATTGTAAGGGTTCTCCAAAAGCTTGATGAAGGAGTATTCCATGAGTCAGAACATGAAGCCTCCAGTTTAGGAGTTTGAGAGTCAGAGCTCTGTGTTTAGGGTGTACAGGTTGGGTGCTTGTGGTCTCGCTGTTTAGCATTTCCGGCTTGCAGCTTGGGGTTTAGGGCTCAGGGTATCTGGATGAGGGCTGTGAGTTCGAGAATTCCGTGTTTCGGGCTTGGGTTTCCGGCTGAGGGTTTGATGTGCTTATGTACCAGGTACGGGGCTTAAGGCTTTTTGAACCCTGAAGCCCCTAGTCTGACCGAGTCCGGCTGGACAGCAGCCGCTTTCGCACAGAACTGGCATAACTCTTAACCTTTAAGCCCATGTAAAGCTTAAGCCCAAACCCTGAAGGACAACTGAAAGCCTAAGCCCCGAACCTTGTTCCTTGGGACTGGAAGCCCGAAACACTCAAGGCACTTTGTGCAGCAGGGCGATGTTGTACAGGCACAGGCTGCACTGGAGGCCGAATATGTCCGCTAGCCCATCCCCGAGTTCAGGGGCTAGGCCGGCGTCAAGGGTTTGTTGCTTAGGGTTGGGAGTCTTTGTGTTTGAAAATGATATTAGCGGCTGTTTTCGTTTTTTCTGCATTTATTGGTTCTGGGTTCCTGATACAAGATAACTAACCTTTAAAAGTAGTAACTTTTCCCAGTGGGTTGCTGAACAGCCTAGGTTAGGGGTTTGTTGTTGTTCAGGTAATTTTGGGTCATGGGGTTCACAGGTTCGGTGTTTTGGCTTTAGGGTTGAGGAAGTTTAGGGCATATGGGAGTCTAAGAACCTGTTTGTTTATGCTGGGATGATCCTAAACCGTTTCCGCACCAGGACGCTCACATCGCCGGCGCTGCCCAGGAGGCCTTGGCCCACTTATCTTCAAAAGTGTACAATGAGTTTGCACTTGGGGGGTTTAAGCATGAAGCCTCATTAAGCTTGGATTCAGGGTTGAGGAGGCCTTATATGGGCCTGATAGTTATGTGTATCAGCAGACTTGGCCCCGTCCTCGTGTCACGCCCTCGCAGCCATCGCTCACGACGCAGCCGCTTAGCCCTCGCTCGCGACACCGATTTGGACCGCTCGCGAACACCAAGAGCTAGCTACCAGCACGACAGGTTTCTGGTACAATGGGTGTGGTATGTTGGCGCATTTGGTACGGTACGCGGTCGGTGGTACCATGGTACGTTTGGCATGGTGCGGAAGGATTTGGTGTGGTACTTTGCTCCGTCTGGTATATGTCGGACAGTGACTTGCCTACTTGATTGAAATGCTATAATGTTAGAGAGCACGTGTTATGGACTGCTGCGATTGTTCACGGTGAGATGACGATAGCAAAACGCGAGGCCTCACCGCGTTCGACCCTCTTTGTTTCTGCGACGCGTGCTGGCTTGTTGTCTCAACTAGGCAACTGTGGCAAACACACTGTCGCTTTGTTTTCTGCATTCTTTGCTGGCTTCTTGTCTCAACTAGGTTGAGAGTGGCAACTATGATTAGCAAGGTTGTCCTTTGTAGTCAACCGAAGCCTTTTTGTCATCTATCCTTCTTTGTCGTGAACCGAAGGAATTGGATGTTATGTTGCTTTTGTGATTGTAGCTGTAAAAGTAACACTATCCTTCTTGTTAGTTCTTGTAATTGAAGCTGTAACAGCACAAAAGCGTTTGTCTGAAGTGAAAATGTGGAACATTTAGGGTATAAGATTAAAGGCTCTGGTCTGGGCTGGCCTTTAAGGTTTACGGCTCAGGGTTAAGGGCTTTGGGCTGTTTGCCAGCTTTTTGTTTCAATTAAATTGAGACAGACCACTATGGTTAAACATCGTTTCTCTGCATTGTTTGATGGCTTCCTGTCTCAACCAGATTGAGAGCGACAACTATGGTGGCTGGGATGGCGGGGTCCATGCTGCGCGTCGCGACAGGGATCCATCCCCAGCGTCCTGATACGTGCCGCAGCCTAAAAGCCCTAGCTTAGCCACCTAAAGTCTGCAAACCCGAAGCCCAACTCTGCACCCTAAGGCCGTGTTGCTTTTTGCTGTTCTGTTTCTGAAAGGGAGGTGGGACCGCCTTCAAAAGCAGAAGACTTTAATCAATTGTTGCTCCAGGATCTGGAGGCCGGAGCTGCAGCCATCACAAGGCTCAAGGCGTCGCACAGAGAAGTTTAGAGTTTGGGGATGCTTGGGGTGTTTGGGGTTTAGGGCGCCCAGGGCTTTAGGGATGTTCGTTTCGGGCCAAAAGGTTCAGAGCTTTAAATTTTATGTATATGCATGTGTATTTTCAGTTGCAGTTGCATATGTACGTACACGTGCATGTCCATGTCTATGTCTATGTATGTACTATGCATGTATGCGTGTATGGAGTGCTAACTTTTTCAGGCGTAATCTGGGAAAATCAGGAAACCATGGGTCAAGAAACTGGGCGACGGGCGATAAAATTCAAGAAGAACGACGTGGCAAGTTCAGAGGTTATCTTGGCAGATTTCGAGAATAAGCAAGCTCGTTTTTAAGAAACAACATCTGCATGCTGCATGTGGGTGTGGCTGCCTGAATGCATCCGTGATAGCTTTATATCTGCATTCATTTCTGTTAATTTCTCTTCGTGCATCTCTGTAGCAGGTAGAACTGCATGGAGACAATCGCCCCAATTGTCGCATCTCATTTGTCCCCTCCATGATGTCGTATCTACAAACGATGATGGACCCTACTTCAATACATCTTGCCATATGCGTTTAGAAGGCGAGTAGAAATGCATGGTGATTTTATGGGGTGGGGGGTGGCGGCATTCTTATGACCTTTTTCGGATGTGGCCAGGCCATGGGGATTCGATCTGATCTGATGCACATGATTTGGGATTGTGTATTTCATACACACTGAGGGTCCCTTTTTTATCAGACAGGGATGCTGTGAATGTATGCATTTAGATGGTGACACGCGCACCAGGCGCCGTGGGTTTAGGCAGCGTTTTCCTCAACTTCAGGGGTTTCGGGGTGGGGGGGGGGGGGGGGCTGATAACGTCCCTTGGCTTGCATCCTGTTACAGCTCCTTGCCAACACGTGCGCGCATGTCGACCGAGCTGGTGCGTGAAGTCTGTGTGGTCACGTCGCAAGACTCAATAGTAGGAGATGGATGTCAGATCGTCCTTGCTGCGTGCTCGTCCAAAGCTCTACCGCACTTTCTTCCATGTTGCCAGCCGGCAGCTCCGACTTCTTGTGCTGGCTTTCCTGCCTCCTGGGCTTCGTCCTGCCGGTTCGCAGACCAGGCGTCGCCTTGCCTGCCAATCTGGGAGGCTTTGCTCGCTTCGCCTTCGATGATGTTCACGATGCATGGCGTGCCTCTTGCCTGACATCTAGTGCTATGCACTTGCTCCCATTTCTTGCTCTTTCCACTGCGGCTTTCCAGTCAGGTTGTGACAGGCCCCTTGGGCGATGCTGCGCTCCTCGTGCTTCGTGCACTCTTTTACGAGACCTCGGTGAACCGCGCAGGCGCTTTCCCTTGGACGGCTTTGGTTTCCTCGGCGACTGCTCTGGCATGGGTCTACTCCAGTGTCTACTCGCAGCCGCTTGAGAAAGATGCGCAGCTTTTCAAAGATCGCTTGGTGTCTGCCATGAACCAGCGATGGAGTCTTCCTGCGACATGGGCTTCCTTTCCTTCGCTTTCGGACTGGACTCAGTGGTTCTCGGCCATGCAGGGTTTGCAAGCTTCTTCCAGCTCGACTCTTCCTTCGCCGCTGACTCCGCTACTCCCGAATGTAATTTGCACAGAAGCCATAAAAAATATATAGTCATGCTAAGTATTGCCTACTGCCCTTTGCTTGCTACTCCTAAAAGTAATTTGCACAGAAGCCATATAAAGTAAGATAAGCATGCTAAGTATTGCCTACAGCCCCTTGCTTACTACTCCTAAAGGTAATTTGCACAGAAGCCATACTGCCCTTTGCTTACTACTCCTAAAGGTAATTTGCACAGAAGCCATATAAAGTAAGATAAGCATGCTAAGTATTGCCTACAGCCCCTTGCTTACTACTCCTAAAGGTAATTTGCACAGAAGCCATACTGCCCTTTGCTTACTACTCCTAAAGGTAATTTGCACAGAAGCCATATAAAGTAAGATAAGCATGCTAAGTATTGCCTACAACCCCTTGCTTACTACTCTTGACTGTAATTTGCACAGAAGCCATAAGAAGTATACTCCTAAGTACAACTTGCCCCGAAGCATAGGGAGTAGCATAATCCTTTCCAAACAACCCACTAACGCAGACATGTCTACATAAAAATGAATAGTTTTAGCTCTTGCTCAACAACCACTTTTTCTTAGAAATCGTACAAAAACCGAGGAATATGCTAGTTTTTAACCCTCTAAAGTCACACGGCGCCTCAAAAGGGATCCACAAAAGGGGTCTGAGACATAGGGGCATTAAAAATTATTACCAACACTCTTTTGGGGGTTCCTTATTCTAATAATTATTGAGGCCCCTGTATTGTATTGCCCCAAAACCTGACGCCCGTTGCCCCTAAGCCCTAAAGCCGAAATCCTCAACCCTGAACCGCAAGCTCTGACGTCCGTCAATCCTAAACCCCAATAGAGTAGGGGCCTACTAATTACCAATACTATTCCTAGAGCTTCTTATTCTAGGTATACTATAAGATGCCCAAAACCTGATTCTTATTATCCAGGCCCGGATACTGAGCACGAAGCCCTACACCCCAAGTAAACCTTAAATCCTAAACCCTACACCCCCAAATCCCTGCAGCCTCAGGGTCCCGAAAGCCGGATGGATTCTGAAGTCGGAGCCTCAGGGTTTCTATCTAGGTAGGGCTTTGGGACAATTTATATTTTCTCTTATTGGGCTTAAGAGGATCTTACCTACAGTTTTTTTTCGAAGGCTTTAACAGCACTACCTAGCAGGGCTTTACATCTTACAAATGGACAAACTGGGGCTCTTTATTTGGGTGTAGGCTTTCTGCTAGACCGCTCTAGTCGTCCTGACGGATCCTAAGTTGTGGTGTTTAGGGACTTGAGCTTACACATTATAATTTATATCGTATACCTATATCTATATCTATAGCTATAGCTACAACGATAGCTTTAACTATAGCTATAGTTATAGCTATAACTATCGCTATAGTTGTAGCTATAACCTGAGCTAACATTAAGTCTATTTTTATGTTTATATCTATTATACTTATATAGTAGTAGTAGTAGTAGTAGTAGTAGTAGTAGTAGTAGTAGTAGTAGTAGTAGTAGTAGTAGTAGTAGTCGCAGCAATATGTGAGTGCACATACGTGTGGCAGTGCACTTGTCTCTGCTAGCTGCTTGTGTTTGTAGCTTGCATGTTTGTATATAATTGAATGTTTATGCCAAACAAATGTTTTTGGCTCAAGTGGCTTGTTTTCCTATAGCCAAGTGTGCACGGTAGATTTGCGAGTAGGTGTAGCTTCGCGGCCCGCGGAGTTGCAACTCGCGGTCGCCTGCGTGCTTAGCAGGTAGGGGACTGGGTAAGCGAGACGGACTCGCGAAGCAAAAGCGCGGTTGTGATTGTGGTTTATCTGCAAGTCCAACTAGCGCGCTTCACAATTGGGGGCTGTTCTGGGAAACCCCAGTCCCCGGGGCCCGTTGGTGGCGCGAGCTTGTGTGGCTCGCCCTCCGCGGTCCGCTTGGACGCGTGGGCTCTGGCCTGCGCTTGCGGCCCGTCGGCGGCGCGAGCTTGTGTAGCTCGCCCTTCGCGGTCCGCCTGGACGCGTGGGCTCGTGCTCACGCTTGCGGCTCTTGATTGAGCGCGGCTGGGCCCGTGCTCTTTCACCTGCCTCCCGCCATGTCGGCGGAGGTGTCAGGTCAGCCTGAGGGCGTGACCGTCCTCGAGGCCATCGAGGCAGGGACCGTCCCTTACCCCCGGCGTATGGGTTACGTGCGGTGGCTGAAGTGGTGCAAGTCCACTGGGACGCGACCCCTTCGTAAGCGCGACGGTATAGGTATACGTCGCCAGAAGTGGAAGCGGCCTTGTGGCGCTCCACTATGTCCTTCCTCTATGATAAGGAGGAAGATGATGAGGAGGAAGAGGAGGAGGAAGTAGAAGAAGACGAAGAGGTCGATCCTCCTCAGGAGCCTCTCGGCGATGAAGCCGGAGAAGGCCCGGAGCTTATCCCGGCTGAGAAGGGCTCCGCTCCTCCAGCGGCCCCACCGCGGACCGTTGGAGCTGTCGCGGGTGGAGCGCTTACGGCGATGGCCATGGTCACTGGAGTGGTCGCGGCCGCCACTGGCGCGCCACCCCTTGCAGGTCCGGCCCTGACTGAGCGACGGGCGGGACCGTCGGGTCCGCCGTCTACGGCTGGCTCGGTGCCTGGCATGGCTGAGTCCTTGCAGGCGGAGCTGCGCGAGCTGTATCGGCCGGACCAAGAGCCGGTTGCGGATTACTTGAATCGCACGGCTCGTGTTGTCCTTGCGCTCCGCGCGCACGGCATCACAGTTTCGGAAGGTGAGCTTGGGATGCTCACTACCAAGGCGACGCCCCCGGCGGAGGAGTTCGCCCAGGTCGGAGGTGATTGGCACCCGACCCGGATGGTGCGGCGCTTGCGGACTCGTTTCGCAGTCGCGGCGCTTAAAGGGGAGGATAGCAGCGAGGACGCTGCTGAAGTCAATCATGAGATCCAAGCGATCGGCGAGCTCATTGTTGCCCTCGGCGGCAAGCAGAGCGCTAGCGCCGACAAGGTTTGGAGCTCGCCCTCCGACGTCCCTCCAGGGGCGGCGTTGGCGTCGCCCCCTGCTTCGGTGGCTCCGCTGCGTGCCAAGTTGGCGGCGCTGGAGATGGAGATCGAAGCCTTGAAGAGGGGCTCCGATGGTGGCGCGTCGGTGGCCGACGGCGCTGGGCAGGCGACCGCTGACTTGGCCGCTGCCCTTAAGGAGCAGACAGAGGCCTTGAAAGAGGCTCTGACCTCCCGCGGAGGACAGAATTCGATCACTTCGGTCAAGACGGACCTTAACTGGCCGACTCTGACCGATGACAAGAGTGACTCGAAGGATGTCGTCCTCTTTTATGAGGAATTCGAAGACGTGTGCGGCTTGGCGAACAACTGCCGCGGCATGTCTGCGCGGGAGAAGCTACTGGCGCTTCGCGCGCGGTGCAAGGACAGTGAGCATGTCACCTTGACGAAGGGGCGCCTCACAGGGCATCAGTTTGAGCCCCTGTTTGAGGCCTCCATCGCCGACTTGGAGTCGGTGGGGCTGGGCAAAACCCCAAGGGAGCTTTACTTGTCTTACCTTCGCAAAATGCCGCCGCATTTGCAAGGCTCTGGCCGGGCGACTCGAAGGATGTTGGCCTTCGCTCGCCGGCCACGTGGGAAGAGTCTTTGGAGTACGAGCAGCGAGAGGCGGCGCATCGCGCCGTCGCCCACTCCACCTACACCACCACCCCGGGTGGAGACCAGGCGGACTCTGCCGCGGCCGCTCAAGCAGGCGCGCAAGGAGATCAGTGATCTCAAGGCGGCCGTGAACGCTGCAGCAAAGCCCAGCCCTGGACCCCGGGACAGCACCCTGGCGGGTCAGGCGCCAAGGGAGCGGCAAGATCTGCTTCCATTTCCGAAAGGCACACGCAAGGGCAAGGCCAAGGCGAAGCCCAAGGCCAAGCCCAAGGCAGGCCCTAAGCCACCAGGCACAGTATGCCCCTTCTTCGCTAAGAATGGCTCTTGCAGGAAGGGTGCAGCGTGCGACATGGTTCACACCCTGCTGACAGGCCAGGGGCAGGGTTAGGGAGGCCAGGGAGGATGAGCAACCCCTTTGCGGCCTTCAGCATCCAGATAGGGAGTGCGGGAGTCCAGACAGGGTTCCCTGCCCCGGACTCTGGAAAGCCGGCGGAGGACCACACCCTCGCCTGAGCAAGGGGGCTAGCGGCCGGTTCTCGGCGCTCGACGAGCTGCCAGGCGACTGGTGGTCGCTGGCAGAGAACGAGCCAGGCGGCTACCAGTACCGGACTGTAGTCCAGGTACTGGGGAAAGCGCCTCGAGTGTATGCTCGACGGCTGCACCGGCGCGAACCATGTGACCGAGGAGCTCTTGCTTGGGGGGTCGGGGGACTTAGTAAGTAGTTAGTAAGTAAACTTATAAGTACCCTAAAAGGGACCCTAATTGGGGTTATGGTACTTATAAGCCCCCTAAAATAACCAGTTACTAAGTCCCCCGACCCTCCAAGTGGTCGGCATGTTGAATCGTGCGGTTGGGGAGTTTTGCGCGTTACCTTGCTGGAGGGCAAGACGGCCGAGGCGTCCAAGCCTGGCCCCGAGATTTTTGTCCGTTGCAAAATCGCGGCCCGCGGGTCCAGCGATTGGCACGGCTTGATCCTCGGCGGCAGGGCCCTCGACTGCGCCAGCAGGATGGGCCTGGGGTTCAGACGGTTCAGAGCCGGGCCAGAGCACCATATCCTGGATACGCTCAGCGAGCTTCCAGACACCACGGCCCCTCCACCAGCTTCTGCTGAGCCAGCCGTCCCTTCGGACGCGGCTCGTGCCGTGGGAGCCGCGAATGTACTCGGCCTGATTGCCGCCTTGACTGCCTTCGAGCTGTGCTGGGCCTTCTCGAAGAGGCCCTTGAAGGGTTCCGGGTCGCGGGGGCTCCCCTCGACCTCCCCCAACCTCCGCCGCAGACGTCGACACCTTTATGGCGTGCGTGGAAGCCAAGTCTGGCCGCACGTCCGGCGCCGACGCTGAGGGCAAGGACGAACCCATGGAGGACGAGGCGGACCGCGCCGAAGGCGGCGCGGCCTCGCGCGCCTCAGGTGCGGTGTTGTACTGCCGCTGCTCCAGGTACGGCATCGAGCCGCCGTACGATGGTGAGGAGGAGGAGCCGGTCGACCGTCACCATGATCGACGACCCGGACGAGGACGAGAAAGTCCGGGCAGATCGGGACTGGCTTGCCAAGCAGGCTCCCGTGACCCCGCCGGCGGGCCCTCTGCTGCAGCTGCCTCGCGGAAGGGCGGCCGCAACAAGGCGCCCCGCAAGGACACAGCGGAGGAGAAGCCGACTCCCCCGCGTCTCCCGCCAGGCCCGCGAACCGGTGCCCATGCGGCGGGATCCCGCGCGGGGCCAGCGGAGTGAAGCACTCGAAGCAGAGGACTCCTTGAGCTGGCATGTCATGCCCAAGCTGCATCAATTCCAGCACATTTGTGAAAGCAAATTCAATGCCAAGGATTTCTGGTGCTATGCAGATGAAACCCTGGGAGGGCATTTGGCACAGCTCTTCCTTCGCAGAGGTGGTGCTAATAATCCGAGCGAAAACTGTGCTCGAGCCTTGGAGAAATGGCAGCAGATTGCGCCATTTCCTGCTGTCACCAGGCCCTAGAGCGAGCCTGCAGAAGCCTCACTGCTAAGGCTTGAAGAGGTTTGCTAGAGCTAGCCTGCAGAAGGCTCCCTTAAGAAGGCTTTACTTTGGCAGCACAAGTCTGCATGCACCAGCTTTCCTGCCACTCCGACAAAAGGCTTCGGCGGCCGAGTTTTACTACTTGCAGGGCTTATGACCTTTGACACTGCATTTGCTTAATTGTGGGTTAGGGTGTTTTAGAGGCTTCTTAACGGCTGAACTTCAAGCGGAGAGAAGCTCCGATTTGGAGCTTCCGGAAGCTCCGAATGAACACCTCAAAGCTGGAAGCTCCAAATCGGAGCTGGCAGCTCCGAATCGGAGCTTCGATTTGGAGCTTCCCGAATCGGAGCTTCTCGGACTTTCAGGGTTGCTACCCTTGATGACGGGTGCTGCCTTCGCAGCCGCCGCATCGGGGGCTGGAAGAGCAAGCGTCTCCTTGGGACCGCTGGTCGCTGGCGGCCCGGCCTTGAGCAAGCAAGCTCACGGCTCTTGGCAGCCAGCCCCGAGAAGCACTCCGAGGTGGTAACGCCGGCCGCCTGCATAGCGGATCTGCCTCGGTGAAGGGCCCGCGAGGAACCCTCCGCAGGCCCGATGCCTGCGGCGGCGCTCTGTCCTTGGCCAGCCGCGCCTGGCTGTACAACCCCCATCTGTTCAGCTGAGCTAAGGGCTGCGCTGCAGTGGCCGCACGCCCCCTCTGTAAGGAAGGCTTGACAGCCGCAGGCACTCTGACGAGTCCGGGTGCAGAGCCAGACGCGTCAGACGCGGTGGACACCACCTCGAGTCCCTACGACCTCGAAGGTCGCATCAGTGCCCATCACCTCCACAAGCTGCGTGGGCATGCCGTTCCCGGTCAGCACCGCCTTGGCAACGAACCAGAGAGCGGCGGCGCAGACGATCAGCGTCCCCACCGCTAAGGTGTGGCCTGCGACGTGCACCGTCCGCTGGGCTTCCACGCCCAGCTCCTGAACGAGCTCTGTGGGGCTCTGTGCCACAGCGACGACGGTCACCGAGCCGCGGTGAACCGTCCAAAGACGGGCTTCGGCCCATGCTGAGATATTCCTGGTGATCGTGTGGACCAACCGGCCCGGCGTGCAACCGCCCAGGTGTAGGCGGCGGACGGGCCGGCGGACTCCTCTGAGCTCCGCTGGGTGTGCCTTCCGGCCGCGACCCTTGGCACTGGGGTGCGGTGGCTGGAAGGCAGCACACAGCCCCACTCCCGACCAACAGTGCGACCCGGGAGTGTGGGGGGCAACGGGGTAACTGGGGCCGTGCCGCGGCCCCCGGGCAATTGGGACACAAGGGCGCCAAGGCCGCGCCGCTCTTGCCCTTGCCCTTTCCGGACCCTTTCCCTTTGCCCTTGCCCTTGGGCGCCTTACCGCTCCGGTAGTCCTGGTTGTCGCGGTCCTTGCGCTTGCGGTAGCGAAAGCTGCGCTGGCCCCGGCGACTATCGTGGAGGGGCGCGAACTCGGCTTCGTCCGCCCTCATATTCTCTTCTTCGATCGCGACCTCGGCGGAGCCATCCGAGTCGCCCTCGGGCACTTCCCCGTCCGTGCGCTGAGCGCGCCGCGGATCTGGGATCCCGCGGCTAATAACGCCCGCGTTCCACGAGGGAAGGCTGCACTTATAGCACAGCCTCCGATACGAAAGATTCCACTTTTCGCATCGGGGGCAAAGCCAACCTGCCACTCTGATGGCCGCCGCCATCGCAACACGCGCGGTGCGTTTGGACTCCATCTTGGCCATCTTGCGCTCGTGCCGAAAGGACTCCCTTGCCAGCCACGCGGCCTTGATGTTCACGTCCTCGTGGAGGTCCTCATCACGGACCGAGTCCACGAGCTCATTGAACTCAAGGATCGGCATGGACTGCTGCCATTACTCGGGGAGATCCCACGGCATCACGTTGTCGTCGGGAATCCAATCCCCCTTTGCTTTGGTGCCCTCGCACCGGGCGCCCGGCCACGGGCCGCCCGGCGGCTGGTAAAAGCATTCCGAGGCTTCTGGAGGGGAAATATACCCTCACAGAAAAAGCACCGCCACGTCCCCCAGCGGTAGTAGGAGTTCGGGTCGAAAGGGATCGGGACCCCGGGGCCCGGCGTGCTCATTCGTTTCCACTTTGTTGTAGACTTTGGCCAAAAACTTGGCCAGCCTGTGGCAAGCCACCTCGTGATCACTGCCCATGGCAAAGTGCTTGCCTGTTAAGATCGGAAGCAGAGGCACCAGGTGCTTCACTGTGGCTGCTGGGCATTTCAAGGTCGGCGGACCCGTGCTTTTTTTCGCTTTGTTCAGCACTTCCGGTGTCAGCTTGTGCACGTAACCATGTGTTCTTTGTAAAGCTGCTGCAAATCGAGCCATAGGCCCGAGACCCTAGCTTTGAGACTTCTGCCTTCGTGTTTCCCAGCCAGCTCCAGCAAGAGCTGCCCAGCAATATCAGCCGAAATACCCATGTCGACGGCATGAAGCCAATCAGGCAAAATCAAAATTCGAGGGGCCAGCTCTGGCCAGTGCCACAGTGGGCACACAGTTTTGCCCATGTCGCGAACTCTGGTCAAGAACTCGGCCTTGCTCAGGCCCGAACTTCTTTCATTCGCTGTGCAAGTTCTGAACGATTCAAACTTGGCTTTGCGCAACCAGCACATTCCGCTTTTGGTGTTGTAGGTCGGAATGTTGTACCAACTGTTCAGCCAGTCCCAATCGCCTCTGATCTCCACGAGAATGCCTTTTGCAGGCAAGTCCCTCCCAACATATGTTCGCCTTTGTTTGTCGGATTTGAGCCACGGGCTTCCATCATGCCTGCAACTGGGGAATTTCCCTTCCTTCAAACACTGCATGCTCCAGAGAAGCACTTGGAGTATGCTTTCTTTGGTCTCATACTCCCAATGAAAATCGTTTTGCAGCAACGTGAAGGGAACAGGAGATCTGTGCTTGGCATCTTGAGCTGCAGGAAGATTGATCGTCAGGAAATCAAGCCCTTCCTTTCTCATAGTGCCTTGCACAGGCACACCATCGCCATGGAAAGCAAAAGGAATCACTGCTTCATCGCCCCATCCCAACTTCCTTTTGATTTCCTTCGCAGCGACCCAAGTCTTGGAGCCTTCTGCAGGCTGGCGCCTTGCCAAAGCAGCAGGATCGGCAAAAAAAGTTGCCATCCATTCATGCGGCAATTGAAATGCATGCCACATGAGGGCTCTCGAATTATTCTTTTTGCTTTTCATTGGGATTTGGCACCAGTAGAGCTCAGGCCAAAGAGTCCTCTTGAAAGCTCTCCTGAGAGTTCTCGCAGCGTTTTTCTTCCCTTTCTTGCCTTTCAGCATGCAGCCCTGTGCTCCAGCTGACTTGGCTTTTTCCAAATTTCGCTTTGCCAAAGTTCCTGGCAAGATATTCCTGCCATAAAGTCCCATGGCATAATCAGGAAACTCTTCGGAGGTATCCGAAGCCTCGTCCCTCAATCTCTTCTTGGTCGGCCCTGCGATTGCCTTTTGCAGGCAAGCTTGCCAGCATGCCAACAACCAAAAAAAGAACAACGGAGCCATGCTGCTGTGAACCGAAACGGCTGCGAACCAAAATCACAAGTAGCAGTAAAGGCAACCCCTGGCGGCAGCCTGCAAACCAGCTTGGCAAACAACGGAAAGCGCGCTCTCGTCTGTCGACAACCGTCGAAGTCCCAGCCCGCGAGCAGACATCCCGAACCTGTCCCTCCACCTTACAGTCCGGCCTAATCCTGAGTCCACAGTTCCGAACTTGCCCCCCAACCGTGGCAGCCGGTTTCTGCCGGGCCGGTCGCGTGCTCAGTCTGCGCCGCTCTTGTGGCAGCGAGTGGCTAGGAACCGCAGAATTCGGCGGACCTCCTTACGGCTGCAGGAGGCTTGCTGACGCGGCGCATAGTCCGGCAGGCCTTGGAGGGCAGATGAGGGCACTGCTTCAGCGCGGATTCTGTTCTTGACGGGGAGTTCGTGTTGGGGCCTGAAGGTGGTCCAGCGTCAGAGGATGTTGGCACCCGAACGAGCCCCATCTGCAGAAAGTCGTGGGTCTAAAAGGACGCGTGCACGCAGGGCACCAGCACCAAATGTCTGGAGCTCAGAAGCACCGCACCACTCGAAACCCGCCTCCTATCTCCCAAGCCCTGGCCACACGCGGCGGCCCCAAAGTCTAGAGAGCTACTAGCCTGAAATCTGGTTTGCCGCAAAGGTGCTGTCACGCGTGTACACCTTTCGCGTCTCGCAGAGCCAGCTCTGGACGTCGTGCACTGTCCATGCCTCGAGCGGCACCCCCAAGCGTCGAAGCTCACGTCGGAAGCGCACGTGGCCAGCAGCGCGCTGCGCAGTGTCCTCCCGTACAGAGGCAAATGCATAGCGCCCGCAGTCCCTAACCCCTAATCCCCCACGTTAGTCCGTAGAGCGTTCAGGACAAAGGCCGCTCTAGACGTGAGCTTGTCTGGAGAAAGGTACGCATGCATACATCGCGGGCCGAGGCAGTAAACGTCACTGACATGTGCTGTGAAGTTGTCGCACAGTCCTGCGACGCGCCCGCAAGTATGTATACCGAAGACCTTTTATGTTGGGACCGAAACGAGCCCCTATGGACAGTGAAGTTATCGCACATGTTTTGTGACGGGGCCGCAAGGTTGTTTGGAGTCTCCAGGGTTTAGGGTTAAGGGTTTAGGGATTCTGGTCGGAAATGCGTTCCTTTGTTTGGAATCTGACGGCTTGTCTCACGGTTTCGCGACCGTTCCGCAAGCAGCGAAAGTGAGGTACATGTTGGGACCGAAATGAGCCCCTACGTGTGTCACGGGACCGCAAGAGTCTTTGGAGGTTCTACTAGGCTGGTACCGGAACGGGCTCCCTGGGGTAGTAGCACATGCCTTGTCGCAGAGTTCTGTCACGGGACCCTAACATGATATATTCGGGGCTCACTAGGTCGGGACCCAGGTCGAAACTGCTCTCTAAAGCCAGAGAAGTATTCGCAAGCTGAAAGAGCTGTCCGAACATCTGTTGTCGTGTAGCGTCTTCGCCAGTGGCATCCGGTGCCGACACGCAGTGGGAACTCATTGAGGGGTCTGAGGCCGAGGTTGCTCAAGTCGACGTTCACCTGGCAGAGACAGCGGGGCTGCGGTCGCAGCAGTTAAGGCAGCTTGCGCTTGCAGGACGTTTTAGGGAACTGGGGATGCGGTCAGGCGTCCAAGTAGGCAGCAAAGCGGCACGTGTGATCGTCGAGCCAGGGGTGCAGGTTTGCTGCGCCGCCGCGCAGGACCTGCGCGTTCTAGAGATCCCACGAACACGTATCTGTCAACCCTAGCTTAGGCGCAGTTCTGAGCCCCACTCCTAATCCCCCGCGGCCTCGCAAGCAGTCTTGACGACTTGCAGGCCCTTCAGAGTGCGCTGCTGGCGGTTTCTCTTGTGTCCAAAAGGCCTGCAGAGCGCATTCCAAAGCTGTGTCCGTGTCATTGCGCTGCGAATCCCAAGTCTCCCACGCGCAGCTAAGGCGCTTGTACGCATTCAGGTGCTGCGTGTTGGTTGCATAGAAGGCGCGAAGTGCCTCCAGGAGGCGCTTCTCTTCGAGCGAGCGCCAGTCGATGTAGTGCTGCTTCCGCGCGTGTGGTCCATAGAGGTCATAGAGCTGGCCAAGGGACTCCTGTCAGTAGCCATGCACTCATGCTGCGCCGGCAAACGCGAATGCAAATGTACCAGCCTTCCCGCGCGCCTTGTTGACAGCCACAAAGCGCAGCAGGACGAGGTTGAGGTAGAGCGTGGCTCGGGGCAGTCTGCGCCACGCATGCACAGTGCGACTGCCCGCATCCGTGAATCGAAGGACCTCGAGGGGAGGAGCCCTAGTGTCATGAGTTTATTGCGTCCTGTGCAGCCTGCAAACTTATGCCGCAGCAATTCGGGCAAATCGGCCAGGGTGTTTTCCCAGAGCAGAGCACGTCTTCCCGAATCCCTAGACCTTAAACATTAAGCCGCAGGCTTCAAACCTCTCCCCTTGTCCCTACACGTTGTACGCGCAGTCCTAAACCCTTTCCCTCCCGAGGCGCTGGAGCGTAGACTCGAGACTCAAACCCTGAACTTCCATCCAAACCCTAAGCCCGCATCCCGGAATGCAGGCCGAAGTTCGAAACTAAAGTGTACGGCCAAAGGGCATTGTTAACCTTTTGCGTGCGAAGGATGTGCAGGACCCAGTGAGGCAGGTCGAAAGCAGTAGCGAGCTTCGCGGTCGTCGGCGGTGTTTTTGCCTCCTCATGTCGCGGTGCTTGCACACATTGAAGAATCCAAATAAGGAACTGCTGCGGTCGATGTCAAACATGTATGGTTTCGGGTCACTTTGGCTGGACTCGGCTAGAGGCAAGACAGTCCGGGAGGCTTGGTTTGCGGTCAGGTAGCGAGCCAGAAACGTTGCAGCGCCATACGCGCGGCGGCGAGGTTGTAGAACACCGCCGTGTTCTTCTTTGCGAGGGGTTTGTGTCGGCTGTGCTCCAGGTCCTGGTATTGAGGGCGTCGGGTACATGGTGTCGGTTTCGTCATGTTTGTGCCAGGCTCAGAGGAGCTGGCTAAGGGCTGGTGGCGGTAGTTTCCAGGGCTTGGGGCTGGCAATGAAGGTTGCGGTTTCGGCTTCCAGAGCTCCTGCAGCTCTCTTTTGCGGCTTTCTATTGCTGCTTTGTGAGTCGTGAGGACCCGCCAGCCCCAGCGTTCTCGCAGCGCTCTCCTCCGCAGTTGACCTCGGTACAACTCCGGAGTCGTAAAGACCCTACCCGAATTTCACCCAACCGAAGCATCTGTGAACGTCTCACGCAGGCCAAGGGCTGGAGTTGCGTGCGCTCTGGATGTATCGCACAATGTCTTGTGTCATGGAGTCTGCAGCAGCACCTGGCAGTTTGCTTAATAGTCCACACCGTACTGACCTCATGTTTAGCCAAGCAGCACTGAGTGCGGGTGTCAAATGTTTTCTAGAACAACTCGGAGCTTGAAGGCATCAAGAACCGGTCCTCTCCGGTAAGTCAAGCCCAGTAAGTGTTCGTGGCCGAGTGACAGAGAGCAGAAGGCGCCAAAGCGGGCTTGTTCAATGCTGACAGTGGCGAAGTCTTCGCACGTTCAAACCCGAGGCTTCTCCTTTGTATGCGAAAGCAGAGGCCGGTCAGACAATGTCAATGGCATACGTTGGATGCTGGCGCAGTGTAGCCACCGCCTGTGCCCGCGTAAGAATCTGTGGCATTTGCGCAAGACTGTCCAGGAGTGCAACTGTTCCTGCGTCGTCGACGCGCAGGGCGACCCAGTGGAGATTGTCTCGATTTTGGACGGCGGCCTGCACGCCTGCAACATCCTCAAGCCGCAGCAGGCGCAGTTGCCACGTAACACGGTTGTTAAGGTCCATGGCAGCAACACGCAGGGCGGTAGCCATAAGCTCGCTGCTGTACCATCCGTCGTCGCGCATGTGCTGACTTGGAACGTCGCCTCTTTCTTGTCCATCTTCTGCCATGAGCACATGCAGGGCTTTCCTCATGACAGTTCGCGTGAATATGCAGGCTCCCAAAGCATTATTCAGGGCATGTAGCCCGCACGTTGCGAATCCAGGCTCTTGTGTCTGGAAGAACATGTTGGCTGGTGGAGAAAGGCGAGGAGCCTTGGCGTGCGAAGGCTGTTCCTGCAATGGACAGGGATGCTTGCGGTCCTGTGCAGAGCTAGTGCACGCGGCAGTGGTTCTTGAAGCAGGCTGCGCACTACGCGGCAGTGAAGGTGTGGCCAAGGCAGCCAAGTGGGCTTGTGCTGTAGATGCCTATAGCCTCGTTGGGCGCAATATTCAGCCTGAATGGGTTCAGGCTGATTTTCAGCCTGAGTTGATAAATTACGCCTGGGCCTCAAAATTACGCCTGAGCCTGTTTGCTCTAAGGGCATAGAACTTGACAAGACCCATTGTGTTGAATGAATCGAAAGTTATCGGATGTAAGAATCATCTAGAACGTTGGGATCTTGATTAAAACATGACTTCAAGACGGCATTTGCGGTAACATGCCAGGATTCGCAACCATATACCAAGGACGTTTGGGCGACAGGATATCGGGAAGGGTCTCTATAGGATGTGTTGCTGGTAAGTTAATAGCTTCAACTCGAGATGTTTCAGAACAACTAAAAGAAACAATCCGAAATTCCTTGGTTTGTTGTCCCTCACAGCCCTCCCGCCACCCCTACTTGGCTCTATGTCTCGTTCTCTGTTTCTCTGTCATTAAAATTGTTGTCCCACCGTAGCAAAGGCCAGGCAGGGTGCATCATTGCAAACCAAAGAACGATAAGCTCTTCTTTCATGGCCATGAGTTCTGGATCGGCTTCCAGCGATAGGGTTGCTGCAAGGCAGGCCCCACGCTCTAGAGTAGCCGACGACCACATGTTGCTCCGAAGCGACATGCTTCCTACTAAATTCCCCAAGCTAGCCTAAACGCGTCCCTGACAGCCGCAGCAATGATCACTTTTAAGTCATGCAGCACAAAGACAGGTGTACAAAAAAATAGGCGTACGGGGTAAAACGCCTGAAGTACGCGAGATTACGCCTGAAGTACGCCTAATTACGCCTGAATTTTTTGCTAAAATCACAAGTAACATAGCTAAAACAACAAAGACCATGCAAATCGGCTGAAACTCGCTACAGAACCCAGGTTGTGCGCTTAAACTACACAACTGAGCAACTGTAGCGGTGTTCTTCCTCGATCCATATGGCATGGTTCACGTGCAGGAAACACGACTTGACTTCTGGGCAGCACACTATCCGTATGCCTTCACGCGAGTATTCTTGTACCAGGACGACGTTCATGAGCGCAAACATGGCCATATCTTCACAAGGCCTCCTACAAGTCTAACTTTGGCTTTCTAGTCAAACAGCTGCACCAGACATGTTCGTGAAGATCACATCTGATGGCCATCGTTCAAGCAGCAGATGCACAGAAACCGTCCACCAATTACTTTCAGCAAATTAAAGCAAAACTCGCGCACAGGGATAGGGCGCACCTGTGCTGCCGGTGCAACATCACCCCTACATGAGGGCATCGGCATCGAGCTTTGAGCCCACTGCCGTCGGTTCCTTCCCTGTCCCCACAGCAGGAATCTTGCAGGATGTTGACAAGAAGGGTTGTGAGGTTTGGACTAGTATATCGACAATACTTAGGGTATCCGGATCGCGAGATATGAGGTTTCTAAATTAGCAGAACCCCACAGCACCCCGAAACCGATAAAACGCCCGCAGGCATAAAAAACGCCCGCGACCCTATTCAGGCGCCTGAACACGAACAGGCGTAATATTCAGCCTGAGAAGAGGGCATAGGTGGTTCCGCAGGTGCACAGGTGCGTGGGCTTGGCGCCGCAGGCAAGCTGCAAGGCAGCGGCTGCTTTCCACGTAGCCGTTTGTGAGGTCTTGTGACAACACAGTCCGGATCTTGCCCACGTTGCTGGTTCGTGGCCCGTTGCCGTGCCGCGAGGCTGTCTGTAAACAGCTCCAGAATCTCGGGGGGGATGGCCTTGGATTTCTCGAGCTGTTGCCGGAGTCGTTGGGCGCTGCTACGTTCCAGTGCAAGCAATCGATCGATTTCGTCAACAATGAAAGAAGGGGCCCCACGTTCCAGCTCTTCTCTAGAGGCATTGCGCAGCAGCAGAAGCCCTTGCAGGCTTGTAGCTCGACTCAACATCACGTAGCATGCCAGCCAGTGCAATTCCGGTGCCATACGCGGGGGGCATGCTAAGTCCGCCAGTACTGCCGTGGCCGTCTCGCCTTGGGCACCGTATACAACAGAGCAGTTGGCGGGGAGCAAGGGGAACATAGTTCGTGTGAGTGTTAGCTCGCGGCTCCCGGTGTCTGCAAATGTGAACTTGCTAGTCACTGGTTCCACGATGAAGGTGCCTCTTGCAGCGTCCCGCGAAAGTGCTGGATGCTGGCACGCCTTTGGCAAGGACCAGTTGGTACCCAGGGCACGCAGCACCAGAAAGTCAGGCATATACCGCAAAACATTCAATTTCCCCGGGTCGTGTGCTGACTGCCGTCAAGTCTTCAGCCACGGAAAACTGTATAGCGACGAGCTCCACCTCTGCGCCATTCATCAGACCGAGCCTCACGCAACTTTTGTTGTTGTGAAGACGATAGCGTTGCCCGATGCTGAGCGGTAACAGTCCAGGCAACTCCGCCGTGTGGCGGGTGTTGGCAATCTGCAAGACCTTGCGGCGAGTATCGTCGCTGAAGCGCTCGGCATCCTTTGCACACGGTTGGTCGGCTGCGTGAAGCACGTAAAACGTGTGCTTCCTTTTTGTGGCAGAGCGCAGCGCTAGGCTGTAGGCTAAGGCTCTGCCTAGGGAATGCCGGTGGACGATGCAGCGCATTGTCGCCAAGTCAAAGGGGTGTGCGTGCAGCCGTGGGTCAGGCTCTCCATTAGCTTGCGGTTGCAATTGCCGACCTTCGAGCTCGGGCCAAACATCATCCGGAATGGCTCCGCTGCGCATACCATGCAGGAGTACTTTCAGGGTGCCGGACGTGCGCAAGTTCACGTCCAGTATGACGACATTGGTCAGCTGTCTCCAAAGATCGCTACCCAGACCTCAGCAGTGCGCGGAGTGACAGCGTCAGTGACAAGCAAGGAAGCAGCACCAAGGTGGCAATGTTTTAAAGCAAGACGGGTTGCAGCCAAGTAACTTTGCTCCGGGTCTGTGGAGCGTGCGGCGTGTGACGGTTGCTTGGAGTATTCTCCGTCTGCAGCAGCAGCAGCCGCAGCCTCCTGGCAGGCGCCAACGTTTTGCACCTTAGGCGCAGCGGGGTCGTCTGCGCAAGCGTCCGCTGCCAGCGAGGGGTGGCCAACGGGCGGGAGTTGCATGAAATCACCACTGAGAGCAGTCCAGAGGTGCCCAAAGGTTTCGCTGGAGCGCTTGGCGGTGCGGGTGCGCATATCGATCTGGTGCAAAAGCTTGGGCGGTATCATCCCGACTTCGTCGGCGACATGCCCAACAACGTTTTGCCATTCATGTCGCAGCTTTGCAATTGCGAGGCTGGACAGCCGCGAGCGACGGTCCGTGAGGTGTCCGCGCGGCAGTCTGTGCAGTGCGTGGATGGTATTGCCTCCAAGGATGCGAGCCGCTGTAATAGTAGGAGCTCCCTTCTTCATGCACCCGGGACCGCAAAAATGCTGAAAGAGTGTTTCAATAGTGAGAATGAGGTGAGTTTTTCCAATGCCTGCGCCTCCCAACAGAACGAGGACATGGTCGTTTGGAGCCGCCAAGAGTGGTCGCAAGCATTTGGCGGTAGCCGCCCCGTTTCCACCAGTCTGTCGGTAACGTGTGATTGCAGCCAAGTAGCTGCGAAGAGCAGTCCGCGGGCCTAGGCGGAGCGTGAGTCTGAGTCTAGTAGCACGTTGTCGAAACCACAACGGGGCAAGGTCTCCCAAACGATGCCAGCTTGCGAACCAAGGGGCCTTTTTTGCGTTGATTTCCCGAGTTCCTGGAATGTCAAGAGCACCATGCTGCAGGAGCCAAACCGCCGCATCAAGGACACAGGTGGATGTCTCCAAATTTGCAGCCGCGCAGGCTCGCAACTCGGTCGAAAGTTCCTCGTTCATCGTAAGCGCCGAGCCAGCTGTGGCGTTTTTTGAGGGCAGTTCATCGGTGTTTGTCGCCTGCGGGGCACCGGAAGGTGGCATTTGTGTTGTGTTGCTTGAGGACAGGCTGGACAGGAAGGTCTCGTCAGCAGCATCGGCTTCTGTCGCTTGCGGGGCTCCGGAAGGTGGCATCTGTGTTGTGTTGCTTGATGACAGGTTGGCCAGGAGGGTCTCGTCAGCAGCATCGTCTTCAGCATGAAGCCCGTGTGCAGCATCAAGCTCGGCAAAGAAGCGGCGTTGTCTGCCCAGGATCTTCTTCCACGTTGCGCGAGCAATGCGTGTAGTGGAGGGCGGAGCGACATCGTCGGGACAGAGGCAGTTGGCAGCAACGTCGAGGTGGTTGTGCAGAACTGTTAAAGAACGGGCTTCACTAAGCTTTCCTACTCTCTCACAAAGGCGGACACTTTTCCTGGACTGCGGAGTGTGTCCTGGTAGTCTCGAGCCTGCACGTCGCGTGTGCGTGACGGCTGTTCCTTTACATTAACTACACTGCACTAGCGGTGTTACTGTTCCTGGCAAGATGTTTAACACCCCGCCTTCGGAGTTAGCGAAAGTTCCTCGACTGAGGTGACTCCGACTTTCCTGGACAAACAGTAAACACGCTGCAGTTCCTTTTCACTACAAAATAAACGCTGTTCCTCTTCGCAAACGTTTCCGTTCACTCGCAATCCTCTCCAAGGTTGCTTGACTGTACAAGACTGTTCCTGAACTTACTTAGATCACCACAGAAACAAAAAGGGCTGTGCCACGGTTCCTGTGTCCTGCTTCACTGCTCTTCCTCGGCTCTCTGGCCTCAGTACTGCTTGCTGTTCCTTTGCTTCACTGGAAGTTCACTTCTTTGCTTCCTGCTTCTTCTTCGCTGTCCTGGGTGACTTCCTTCTGCTCCTCTAGCTGTTCCTTGAGCCACTCCTCACGCTGCCTTGCCTGTGCCTTGCACTTCTCTTTTCCTTGCTTGTCCTTTGATCCTGCTTTCCAACCTGTTTCCTTTGATCCTGAATACCAGTACCATTGTCCTCTGGCTTCGTTCCACTTCCACTGGTAGCTTCTTCCTTGGAAACTGTAGACTGCAAACCAGTTTCCTTCAAACTCTCCTTTTCCTTTTCCTTTCAAGTAAGACGCCTCGTTCACTGGTCCTTTGGCGGAAAGTTCCTCGTCTTCCTGTTCCTGTTTTCCTGGCTTGTGCTTTGTCACGCTTGGTGGCTCCTGTCCTTCTTTCTTTCCTTTTCCTTTTCCTTCTCCTCTTCCTTCTGGCTTTTCCTGCTCCTTGGTTGGTGTTGTGTCTGGCTCTGTGGGTGCCTGCGACCCGGCTGCTGATCCTCTGCTCTCAAGCTCCTGTGTGAGGCTTGCAATCCTTTCCTTGTCTTCCTTGCGTTCCTTCATCATCTCCTCCATCATCTGTTCCAGCTTCTTCATCCTGTCTTCTTCACGTCTCGGTTCCATTTCTCCTGATCCTGACGTTGTTCCTTCTGCTACTGCCTTCTTTTCTGCTTCCTTTCGGGCAATGTATGCCGATGCTTCCTTCTTGTCTTCCTCTCTTTTCTTCCTTGCTTCCTTCTCCTTTCTCTTCTTCTCTTGTTCCTTTCTTTCCTTCTCCTCTCTGGCTGCTGCGGCTGCTTCCTCTTCTTTCTCCTTCTCTGCTTTGGCTGCTGCTGCTGCTGTCTCCTCCTTTTCTCTTTCCTCTCTTTCTGCTTTGGCCTTGGCTGCTGCTTCCACTTCTCGCCTTCTCTCGGCGGCTGCGGCTGCTTCCTGCCTTGCTGCTTCCTTGTCTCTTCTCTCCTGCTCTTCTGCTGCCGCTTCCATGATCAGCCTTGCCTTGGCGATCTGCTCCTCTGTTGCCTTCTTCTTCTCTTCTGCTGCCGCTTTTGCCTCTTGCTGTTCCATTGAAATCCTGTCCTGTTCTGCCCAGTACTTGCGATCTTCTTCATCTCGAGGTCGAAATCCTGTGCTTTCTGCTCGCTGCTTTGGCTTTCCTCTTCCTTTGCCTGCTTTTGCGCCTTTCTCCTTTCCTTTTGTTCCTTTCTCGTGCTTGTACGTGTAGTCTTAAGTCGCCGTCGCCGGGCAACCACTGGGGTGCATGCTGAGAATTATTTTAGTGAGTAAATGAGTGATTATAGAGTGAATCATTGTTCTCAGCAAAAGTGATTCGGCAGTGGCAAATAGCAATCCGTGGTGCGTCAATAGTGATCGGGTGTCTCGGAAATAGTGATCGCGTGTCCTGGAAATAGTGATCGGGTGTCCCGCAAATAGTGATCGCGTGTCTTGGAAATAGTGATCGCGTGTCCTGGAAATAGTGATCGGAAGTCCCGCAAATAGTGATCGCGTGTCTTGGAAATAGTGATCGGGTGTCCCGTAAATAGTGATCGGAAGTCCTGTAAATAGTGATCGGGTGTCCCGTGGATAGTGAGCAGAAAACCCAGAAAAAATCATCAATGATCCGATATACCGGAAATAGTGGCCAGGCATCCCGGAAACAGTCATCTCTGCACGTGGACATAGGGAGGTCAAGTTGGTGAGGGTATAGGTCAACTGAGCCCTGGGCCCCAGTACCAAACTTGGTCGAACCAAGCCAGGAACCGAGCCACCCCCCCACTCCACCCACCCCTGCCTCCTGCTGTGGATGCCTCTGGGTCGGTGGCCCGGCCCCCTTCCCCCCCCTCCCCCCCCCCCCTGCACCGTTGGAATGAGTTACAAACCTGGCCACTTGGTAAAGGGGATTCTTTTTCATCCAAAAACCAGGCTAAACAGAGCTTGATATGTGCGACCACATGGCAAAAAAAATGCGCCCTTTTTTGTCGGCTGTTCCTAAAGCATCAACACGGTTTGAGACAAAATTGGAGCCCCTCTCTTTTTCTGGTGTTTGTAAAATAGTAAAACACATCTGGCCTGGCTAAGTGGAGCAGTGGAGCCCCCTTTGTCTTTGTTTTCGGAACGCTTCAGGACAACAGGGAAAACAAAGTCCACAACATGCTCCGCGCGCATCATGTTTTTTTTCTGATTTCCAGGCCTGAAAGCTGACCCAAGCCCAAAGCCCTAAACCCTACAACTCCAGCGCTCAATCCCGAACTCCAAACCTAAAACCCAGACCCCGAACACCATAAACCCGAGGTGTTTCGGTGTCGGGAATCTGCGGGAAACCCAGAGGATTATGAGCATCAGCCAGTTCTTTTGGGCGGGTCAAACCGTTTTTCCTTTTTCCTTTCAAAAAAAATCAAAAACCAAATGGCCGCGGGAGGAGCCCCCCCTGCCCCCCTCCCTCCTTGTTTGGCTTTCCAGCAATGGGCGCGTTCATTAAATGAGATATCAACAGGTCTAAATTCTAAATTGAAAAAGCCTCCCACTCACTTCCAAATCGCCCTGTTGCAGCATTCGGTCGCGGAACAAAAGAAACATTCTGGTTTATCACTATTCCCACAGCTCGGATCACTCCTAGATCACTGAATAATCCACGATCGCTTGTAAATCACTATTCCCAAAGCACGGTCGCGGAACAAAAGAAACATTCTGGTTTATCACTATATTCCCACAGCACGGATCACTCCTAGATCACTGAATAATCCACGTTTTGCCTCGCTCCTGATCGCTTGGAAATCACTATTCCCAAAGCACGGATCACTCCCAGATCACAGAAAAATCATTTTTGTTTGCACCTATGTCTAATTTGCGGATCACTCCGAAATCACATCAAAATCACTATTGTCAATCCTCCAGGACCGGCAATAGTGATCTGTGGCTGGAAATAGTGATTGGCAATGAAATAGTGATTTGAAAGTGATCTTTCACTTTCAAATCACTATTTCCGGCCCTAAATCACTCCAAAATCACTATTTCCGGGCCTAGATCACTCTGAAATCACTTTTGCCGGTCCTCCACCACCGCAAATAGTGATTTTGGAGTGATCTGGGGCCGGAAATAGTGATTTGAAAGTGATCTAGGACCGGTAATAGTGCTTGGAAACTGTAGCTAGGACTGCTGGGACTGCTGCTAGGGCTGTTTTGCAACCCTTGGAGTTCTTCTCGTAATTCGATGTGATAGCTCTCCGAACGTAGGTCACCCGCACATCACAATTATCTGCCTTAGATCACTGTCAGATCACTGTTTCCTGTCCTAGATCACTTTCAAATCACTATTTCCGGCCCTAAATCACTCCAAAATCACTATTTCCGGGCCTAGATCACTCTGAAATCACTTTTGCCGGTCTTCCACCACCGCAAATAGTGATTTTGGAGTGATTTAGGGCCGGAAATAATGATTTGAAAGTGATCTTTCACGTTCAAATCACTATTTCCGGCCCTAAATCACTCCAAAATCACTATTTCCGGGCCTAGATCACTCTGAAATCACTTTTGCCGGTCTTCCACCACCGCAAATAGTGATTTTGGAGTGATTTAGGGCCGGAAATAGTGATTTGAAAGTGATCTAGGACCGATAATAGTGCTTGGAATCTGTAGCTAGGACTGCTAGGACTACTGCTAGGGCTGCTTAGCAACCCTTGGAGTTCTTCTCGTAGTTCGATGTGATAGCTCTCCGAACGTAGGTCACCCTCACATCACAATTACCTGCCTTAGATCACTGTCAGATCACTGTTTCCTGTCCTAGATCACTTTCAAATCACTATTTCCGGCCCTAAATCACTCCAAAATCACTATTTCCGGGCCTAGATCACTCTGAAATCACTTTTGCCGGTCTTCCACCACCGCAAATAGTGATTTTGGAGTGATTTAGGGCCGGAAATAGTGATTTGAAAGTGATCTTTCACTTTCAAATCACTATTTCCGGCCCTAAATCACTCCAAAATCACTATTTCCGGGCCTAGATCACTCTGAAATCACTTTTGCCGGTCTTCCACCACCGCAAATAGTGATTTTGGAGTGATTTAGGGCCGGAAATAGTGATTTGAAAGTGATCTAGGACCGATAATAGTGCTTGGAATCTGTAGCTAGGACTGCTAGGACTACTGCTAGGGCTGCTTAGCAACCCTTGGAGTTCTTCTCGTAGTTCGATGTGATAGCTCTCCGAACGTAGGTCACCCTCACATCACAATTGCCTGCCTTAGATCACTGTCAGATCACTGTTTCCTGTCCTAGATCACTTTCAAATCATTATTTCCGGCCCTAAATCACTCCAAAATCACT